TAAAAGTGCCCTTTCTGTTCATAAAAAAAACAAAAAACAAAAAAACAAACTCAATCTCATATTTGCTTCCAGTCTCTTCTCCCACTCAGCACATGCTAAACTTACAGCTCAAGGGAAGCAGAGTATGGGATGGGTGTCTCCCTGTCTTGCACTCTTTCCTTCCAACCCCCCACCCCCACCCCATGGGGTTGGGAAGGAAAGGAAGGAGACAGAAAAGATGTTAGCTTAAGTGACTGCCCACAGAAAGTTGACTACTAGTGTATTCTCCTTGACCGATTATCTTTGCACGCTTGCACGTGCTGCTGGTAAGTAGGTTGTTATTCTTTCGCAAGTTATTGCTTCTCTATTTAACACTGGCTCTGAGTACTAAGAGGAGGGCAGGTATTCAAATGGTTCTTTCCCAAAGGCCATCTTTTGGATCTTTGGATGGCTTTTTGAGATATCTTTAAGATGACTCTACAACTATTGTTTTGCTTGATGATTTCCTCCCATTTTCTTAGTTTTCAATGTATTCATTGCTATTTCCCCCCACATATCCTAACACAGTCAAATGCTCAGCAATTTTTAAAAAATATATGTTTTCATTGATTTTTATAGAGAAGGGAAGAAAAAGAGGGGGGGGTACTTTTACATTTTAAAGTGCACATACTATTTGACTAATCAATTCTGATAAGCATAATTCTATGGAATAAGTGTCTCAGTGTGTGAGGATAATTTGTTGTTAGTTATTGCATAATTGGTGTGTTGATTGGGTGGTGTGTGTGTGTGTGCGCGTGCGCGCACACGTGTGCGCGATGTAACTCACTGATTTTTAGTTTATGATGATTTTTAGTTTAGAAAGTATACCCACACCCAGAGATTTGACAACTCTACATGTTCCCTTATCACTTTATGGCTATCCTTGGATTTACCTAATTTTGTGATATAAGGTATTTAAATTATTTATATACCTCAACAAAGATTTTAACATCACCAAAAATATTTTCCCCAACAATTTGGAATGCCTCCTTTAAAAGGTATTCAATTCTTATATGGAATTCTAGAATCAGTATCCTAATTCATTGATATGTTTGTCGATTTTTGTGCCTCAATCATAATGATAATTTTTGCAGCACTATAAAATGTTTTTAAAACAGCCGAGACTGGTTTGGCTCAATGGATAGAGCGTCGGCTTGGGGACTGAAGGACCCGGGTTCGATTCCGGTCAAGGGCATGTACCTTTGTTGCGGGCCTATCCCCAATAGGGGGTGTGCAAGAGGCAGCTAATCGATGATTCTCTTTCATCGATGTTTCTAACTCTCTATCTCTCTCCCTTCCTCTCTGTACAAAATCAATAAAATATATTAAAAAAATGTTTTTAAAACTCATAAAGCTAATTTTTTTTTACCTTTTTTTTTTTTTTTCAAATATTGACTTATTATTTTCATGTATTTATTTTTTAAGGTGAACTTTAAAATAATTTTGTTCCAAATCTCATTGGGATTTAGGTTATAATTGTGGTAATATAAATTAATTTGGGAGAAAATGACATCTTTAAAAGCTTCAATCAAGAAAAATATTTTTTTTTATTTTTTAAAGTTTTTTTTCAGTAAGTGGTATAATTTATTTTCATATTGGTAGCACACACTCTTTGTTGAAGTTTCTGGATATTTATGTTAATCTGGCTCTAGTCATTGGATTAATTATGAAATAACTCATAATAATGGATTGACTGACCCAGAGATGGCCGTACTGTTGAGCCTCATTGAGACTGGAATATAGTTTAGGACTTGGAAGCACACAGCTCTCTCTCTATGGACAGTTTTCTAGTTTTCATATCAAAAGCAGAAATTGGTTGATCTTTTGCTGGTAGGATATTAAAGTGTCTCCCTGCCTAGTTCCATGTTTCTGCGGTTGAACCACCTAGCCATTTACTTGTTACTCTTTTCTCATTCTCACCGCTTTGGCTTACTCAAAACCAATTTGACTTCCCTTCACCCATGGCCCATCCTGGCCCTTCCTGCCTCACAGCCACTCTCATATTATTAATTCAGATTCAGTTCCCTTTACAATCCTTTAGACCTCTGGGTGGTAATGGCTCCTGGCTTTGCTGGCTGCAGAGTACCACATCTTCCCTTATTAATGTCCTTCAGCCCTTCCCACAATCATTGCACACAGTCCAGAGAATTGCAATGTGGTATATGGCTGGACTGGCACCTGTTCCAGGTCTGGCGTGGCCAGGACGTGCCCAGCTTCCAAAGGTGAGAGTCCTGATACTGTTGGAGGTGAGAGATGGAATCTCATGACTGTTCTTCCAGCCTGTGGCCCACTCTGAGAAACAGGATGGTGCTAGTCCAATAGAACTGAAGGGAAATGGATTCTTTTCAAATTATGAACTTTTTACTTACAAAAAGTTACAAAATGTTTCTCCTCCTCCTCCTCCTTTTATTCTTCTTTTGTAGTGAGAACTTTATTGCTCCAAGCACTTTACACGAATGCCAAAAGCACAATCATCTCAACTTCTCAACTAATGCACTGCACAGACACTTCCCAGGCTGCACCCTCAGTAAGACAGACAGATGCATTTCAGTGGCAGCAGTTGCATTTGCTTGAGCTTCCTCTGCTGATGCAGCCCTGAGCACACTTGGCACAGCCAGAGGGGTAGCAGGAGCGGCAGCTTTTTTTTTTTTTAAACATGTTTTACAGTTGCAAGTTGTGCATTTGCAGTCATCTCCACAGATGCGTATTCCTCCAGACAGGCAGGAGCATTGCCTGGGGTTCATGGTCCAGGCGTCTGAGAGGCTCTGTCTGTGCTGGGGAAGGGAGCCTCTACAAAATGTTTCTAATAATACTATATAAAAATTTAAAAGTGTATAATTGAAAGTTTAAGCACAAAAGAGTGTTAAATTCAAAGATTAACCAATGATAAAACAGATGCCCATCCACTTGTTTTTCTAGCCTGATTACCACACATAGAAGCCCTGGGAATGGTGGTCAGCAACAGCTGAAGAGCATTTGAATGCTCCAGGACTTGCAGATTATCTGCAAACATTTGCTTCTTTTTTCAATGTCTTACCAAGCCCGTGCACTTATGAGACTTCCAATGTCAGGCTCTCTGACGTGTCAGGGTCTAACGAGGTTGGCATAAATTGACATGAACAGCAGATACAAATAGCAACCCAGCAGTGAACGCGTGAAACTTTTATTATTGATTTTTAATAACCTCTCATTTTTCTTAAAAAAAGAAAAAAAAGAGGCAGGCCCCCATGAGGGAAGTAGCTACTTTTCGTCTGCTGAGACATGGTTTAGATCTACTCATAAATAACGTGAGTTATGGGACCAGCGTACTCTGGGATTCCTCTTACCGTTGGGTTCGGCTGACGGCTTTCTCTTTTGTGTCTCCCCACTTGTGGACTTGCCCTCCGTCGCTGAGTGTCCTTGCATATCTCACACTCAGACCTTGAGGGACAAAGAATCTGTGTGGTCAGCAGGAGGATGCTGTCCTGCTGTGGCGGAGCATTGTCCAGCTCTGAGGTCGGCAAACTGTGGCTTACGAGCCACATGCGGCTCTTTGGCCCCTTGAGTGTGGCTCTTCCACAAAATACCACAGCCTGGGCGAGTCTATTTTGAAGAAGTGGCCTTGGAAGAAGTTTAAGTTTAAAAAATTTGGCTCTCAAAAGAAATTTCAATCGTTGTACTGTTGATATTTGGCTCTGTTGACTAATGAGTTTGCCGATCACTAGTCCAGCTGCCCCTCCTCAGTATTAGTGTAGATGGGATATATTTATAAAAACGGGGCTTAATCTCATGGTTTGACTTGGACAATTCCCTGAAAAATGTTTACCCCGAGACTACATCTGCCCCTCATTGGAGTCTGAGTTCTCCTGGACAAATATTGCCCAATGTTATGCTTTCTGTGGCCTGGAGTATTAAAAAGTCCTCTCTGACACCTTTCTTTCTCTCACCATGGTGTCCAATCAGTCAAATCCTGCTCAACTTATCTCCCAAGCACTATTAAATATGTTCACTCCTCTCCCAGTTTCCATTGCTTTAGTCAGAGCCACAGCCACTTTTGCTAGGACCATTGCCGTGAGCTCCTTGCTTCCGATTTCATGATCCTAGTCAGGGTCCTGGTGCATAGTTGGGCAGTTTGTATACTACACTCAGGTGGCCTGCCCAGGAGATTGGTGGGCTGAAGAATAGCCTGCATTCCTGTCCTGTGCCCTGGTGTGGACCTCTGTTTATCTGGAGAGAATATCTTTGTAATTTGCACAAAAGATGCCACATAATCCTGGTCACCTAGACCTGCACTGTCTCAGACAGTAACCACTAGCCATATGTGTCTTACTTAAATTTTAATTAATTAAAATAAGTAATATGTAAAGTTCAATTCCTCAGTCATACTATATGATATTCTACTTGGTTGCAATGGAAAAAGTCACCAAGCTTTTTTTTTTTCTTTCTTTCTTTCAACTGTGTCTTTGAATTGTCTCCTTGGACTGCTGATCCCATCTCTCCTTTATTTAGACAACTTTATCTGAACAACTTAAGAAACAGGCACCCGCACACTTCCCTTAACGGGGTTAGAATTCTGTCATGATTTATTTAGGTTTATTTCGGGCAGTATACTAAGTTCTTTAAGTGCAAGTATAATCTCACTCATATTTGTATTTCACAGTACCTGGAACATACTAGGCTCTCACTAAAAAAAAAAAAAAAAAAAAAAAAAAAAAAAATTCAAAGAATTAACATGGCAAGGCAGGAAAAATCAAGCAGCTGTGCGGACAATATAAGTGCAACGCGCACTTCTGCCACCAGAGGGCGCCGGCGCACCCGGGCCAGTGCGCAGGCGCGCCGGGAGGACGGGTGCCGCGGCGGCGGCGGCGGCGGCGGCGGCGGCAGCGGCGGCGGCGGCGGCGGCGCAGGCTGTGGCCGGGGGAAGTGAATGGTTTTACCCAGAGGGCCCTGCGCCTTCTTTCTCCGCTGGCAGCGCCGCCGCTCCCTGCTCCTCCTCCCCGGCCATGGCGTTCACGTTCGCGGCCTTCTGCTACATGCTGGCGCTGCTGCTCACCGCCGCGCTCATCTTCTTCGCCATCTGGCACGTGAGTAGCGGGCGCGGGGGGCGGGGGGCGGGCGGCGCGGCGGCGGCGCTGCCTGTTCCGCGCCGGGCCCTCCGCGGTCGAGGTGGCCGTGGACCTCCGGGGCCGGGCTCCGGAGAGCGGGGCGGGGCGGGGCGGGGGGCGCAGGCCGCGCCGCGGGGTCTGAGCCCCGCTCCGCGGGCCGGGGCTGCAGGCCGTGGGGGGCACGGGCGTGCGGGGCTCCCGCGGATGCGCCCGCCGGTCCCGGCGCAGGCCGCGCCGCCGCTCCGCTCCCCTGTGGGTGGGGCGGCCGCTGTCCTGACGGCCCTGCGGACCCCGCTGCCGGGCGCGGACTCCGGCCGGCCTCCCGCCCCCCTACACCCCACACCCCTATACCCCCTCCCCCTTCCCCCCTACATCCCCGCAGCCCCCTACATCCCCGCATCCCCGGGAGGACCTCACGGGCTCGGAGTCCTGCTGTGTACTCAGCGGAAAGGGAGTTTTTCGAATTCTTAAGACAGATTGGTTTTCTTTTCGGGTTTCGGCTGGAGGCTGGCCCAGATGAGAGGTAGTTGTAACCTATTTGAGATGCATTTCCAACTCTGCGTCCCAGCACTGGTCGGGTGCTCTGCAAGTGGAGTCACTGTTTTCGGGCTGTTTCCCAGTGAACTTTGATGCTGGATTGATTGCTCTGTTGACCTCATCTCCGAACTTTTCCCCTAAATCATACTTTGGCCGCCAGTTTTTCAAGAGACAGTTGCCAGCCACCTCTGTATTCTGGGTAACTTGACTTAGTAAAGGTAGTTTTACTTTGATTTTGAAAATGCTCAGAAACCTTAAGCTTCAAGGGAACCCCCTCCTCCCCCTCCAACCCCCCTTACTAACATGCTGCAGGATAGAAACACATCCTTACTGATCCCGGGAAGGGACAAGTGAGTTCCCCGTGACATCAATTCTGCAAGAGGTTTTTAAGGAATTCTGTTCCTCTAGCGCAGAATGAGAAGCAGCCTTCAGGGAATCAGCATTCATTAAAAATGTATCTTGTATTTGCTTCTGCCACTCCCTTCCCCTCCCCCCCCTCCTTCCCTCCCTCTATAATCCAGTATCTTCTGGAATATTGGTCTTAGTTTGAATGATTGGGCGTGTTCACAGGAATGTGAATTTTAAGTCAGGTCTTCCGCTCATAACAAGGATTTGTTTATGGAACATAAAGTGACAGGGTCACTTAAAGAGCTGCAGCATCTTGTGCAAAATGTCTAAGGTAGAGTGATATCACACATCCGTTTCCTTTTGCTCAAGAGTGCGATTATGTTTATAATTGTTAAGAGCTGACTGTTTAGTGTAGCAGGGAATGCTTATGTCCGCTAAGTCACAGCTCCCTCCAAATGCTCGTCCGTAGGAACCAGTAACGTAAAGAGCGTTTTGGGCTCTTTGGTGGAAGAACACTAAGTACAGATCATTCGGGAGGTAGACTCTCTCCATCTTAGTAGTGAGCCTCCAGTGAAACTGAAACGGTTCCCTTCTCTCTGTCAATGTGGACTTCAGTCGCTTCCTGCAGGATGGGCGCTCTTTGTTTTCTGAGTGATGAGGGTTTTTAGAAGGGAGCTGGGTGGATGGCTTTTTTTTACACTTGGAACCAAGTTGTGGAAAACCTGAACTGTACTTTTTAAAAAAGTTTTAGTTTGAAATGAATCTAGATATAATGTTAAGTCCTATTTTAGAACTTAAAAAAATTTGTTTGTATTCTGCATATTAGTGGGAAGCTTTTATCCTTAGAGATTTCTTGGTAGTGCAGAGGATTATACATCCTTTGGGAAGAGATTGAGAATACTAAATAAACATTGATCAGCCGCCTCCTACACACTCCCTAGTGTGCGGTCAAATCCGCAGCAAGGACCCTTCAGTCTGCAGGCCAACGCTCTATCCACTAAGCCATACGGTCTAGGGCTGGTAGATGTTTTTTGAAAAATATTTATTTTAATTGATTTCTGAGAAGGGAGAGGGAGAGAGAGAAACATCAGGGATGAGCTGGGTGTCCGTGGAGGTTAGGATGGCCTGCGCCTGCGGGAGGATCAACATGCCTTTGGCTGGAGATTTACCACATCTGTCCTCGGAAGAGGAAAAGAAAAAGCATAAGAAGAAACGGCTAGTTCAAAGTCCAAATCCTTATTATATGGATGCAAAATGTCCAGGGTGCTCCAAGATCACCGCGGTTTCAGCCGTGCTCAGCCGGTGGTTCTTTGCGTGGGTTGTTCAGCAGTGTGTGCCCGCCGCCAGGAGGAAAGGCTAGACTCACAGAAGGGTGTTCATTTAGAGGAAAGTAAGCTGATGACCCACACAGCTTCCGGAATTTGGGTTATATCACAAAAAGGCCTTATCAGTTTAGTAATTCTAGTTAATCTACCAGGGTAATGTAATTACATTTAGTTTTGTAAGTATACAACAGTGATCTATTTTGGTGTCAGTTTTTCTTTTTTTTTTTTTTTTTTTAATATATTTTATTGATTTTGTACAGAGAAGAAGGGAGAGAGAGAGAGAGCTAGAAACATCGATGAGAGTGTCATCGATTAGCTGTCTCTTGCACACCCCCTGGGGATATGCCCGCAACCAAGGTACATGCCCTTGACCGGAATCGAACCCTGGACCCTTCAGTCCCCAAGCCAATGCTCTATCCATTGAGCCAAACCGATCTCGGCTGGTGTCAGTTTTTCAATAAAGTTTTGATTATGAGAAAATAAAACAAAACAAAAAAACATCAATGATGAGAGAGAATCATTGATTGGCTGCCTCCTGCACACCCCACACTAAGGATGGAGCCCCAAACCCAAAACCCGGGCATATGCCCTGACCGGGAATCGAACAGGTGACCTCTTGGTTCTTGGGTCAACACTCAACCGCTGAGCCACACCCAGCTGGACGCTGGTAGATGTTTTTTATGCTGATTGTCACTTCTGTCAGTTCAGTCCTAGTTCATGTGATTAGTGCTCTGTGGGGAATAGAGTTGGGAGCACAGATTTGTTTGAAAGCTAAAAATTTAGAAGTCATTCCCTAAGGATGTACATCAGATTCGAAGGAATCGTGAATTGGGAAGTTTGGTATTTTTAGGGATTTATCTGTTTTTATTGTGTTTGCACTTCTGTGGAAAATTTTGTGAACATCTTTGTCCAGACACACAATTACTAAAAATTTGAAATCACAAAAGATTCTTAAAAGTTTTGGAAACTAGCTTATAGCACTTAAACAGAAACCCATTCATCATCATACTTATTATTATTTTTTAAAATAACATTTTAGTTTCTTTTTTTAAAATATTGTATTGATTTTTTTACAGAGAGGAAGAGAGAGGGACAGAGAGTTAGAAACATCAATGAGAGAGAATCATCGATCAGCTGCCCTTTGCACACCTCCTACTGGGGATGTGCCCGCAATCAAAGTGCATGCCCTTGACCGGAATCGAACCCGGGACCTTTCAGTCCACAGGCCCACTCTCTATCCATTGAGCCAAACTGGTTTCGGCCATCATATTTATTAAAAGATCACTTGAAATCACTTGAAGGAAATGTTTAATTTAAAAAAAAGGTCATTTTTAAGACATACATTTTGGAATCTGCTGTTAAATTGATCTTGTTTTAGGCAAGTAATTGTATTTGTGATCATGGCTCTTGTCTTGAACTTTATTATTAAAATGCATTGGGGATAATGCAGAGCTAATATCAGGTGAGTGACTAATGCCCATAAATGATCAGAAGTTAGTATCTTCTAATTGTACATTCATATTTTTAACATTTATATATGTTAGGGATCGTTAGCAGAGGAAAATGCCTTTTGCTGAGTCCTGCATTTTTTTTTTTTTTTTTTTTAACATAGGGCTATTTTTCTTTTTTCCCTTTTTACATCAATAAATATTGATTGAACACTTAAGTATGTGCCAGGCACTTTTTAGACCCTAGGGCATAACAGAGAAAAGCTTTGCTTTTATGGAGTTTACATTTTAATTTTTTATTTCTATTCCTATATTAGTTAGAATTTTTAAACTTTTATTTATCTATTTTAAATTTTTTTATTAAGGTATCACATATTTGTCCTCATCCCCCTCCCCCCTTCTCATCCTCCACCCTTCCCCACGCATGTACCCACCCCCCTGTTGTCCTTGACCACTGGTTAGGCTCAATGTATGCACACAAGTCCTTTGGTTGATCTCTCCCTTTTATCCCCACTAGTTAGAATTTTTATTAGGTTAGGTTGGTGGGTTTTATAACATCCTCGAAATTAAAAAAAAAGACACATTTTATGAAGCTAAAAACCTTAATAGGGAAATAAACCAGCATATTAAAATCTAGAAATATACGACTCCATTGGCTACTGGTAATATTGAGTAACACTGTCACATACTAGTATATAAAGATGCTATTTGTAACCCACCAAAGGGCAGATTAAGTTCTGTTCCCCAGGTAACTAGTGGCAGCAACTAAAATATCTCCCCATAGGGTGGTGCCTTTGACTTCTTATTTTGATGCCTATCTTAGCATCACAAAGTGGTCCGTTTCCCCATTTGATTTTTCAGCACATTTTAACTTTGAAGCTCTGTGTTTAGTGACCCTGCATGTTAAAGCCACAACTCTCTAGAGACTGGACAAAAGCGTTTCTGCCACGCGTGCAAAGTGATGCCATCTTCCTCCCCTTATCGCATTTATAAGTGCTTCACTCATCACACTGTGAAAAACTGGCCTTAGCTGGCCTTACCCTTACACAGTCTGTAGTTTGGTGACCAGGTAAAATGACCTGCATGAGTTCATGAAAGGAGGTCAGATTGGTCACTTTTATAGTGGCCTTGAACAGGACTCTGCTCTTGCCTGTATGGTGCTGTCAGGTGAACTGGAACAAGATACCTTTTGGGGCAAAAAATCCTTCCTCTTGAACAGATACAGAGTCTGGTGCAGAGCCCGTGCCAGATGCGTGGCAGCAGGATTGTGGGCTGGCTGGGAGCCCTGTGGCCTGGGCAGGAACTGCGCTCCTGTGTTTGGTGGCCCTGCCCGTGAAGTTGAATAATCCCCAGTTTCTCTACTCTGAGACCATTTTTTGTGTTTCCAGATGGAAGTAGGACTTGAAATATATGTGCTCAGGCACAAACGGGAGCAAACTGGAGCATGCCAGTCCATCTCCAGTGTCCCACTGAACACTGTGATGAGGGTGGGGCATGCGCAGATGATTAAAAACACTTCACCCTGCCAAAACCGGTTTGGCTCAGTGGTAGAGCGTCGGTCTGCGGACTGAAAGGTCCCGGGTTCGATTCCAGTCAGGGGCATGTACATTGGTTGTGGGCACATCCCCGGTGTGGGGTGTGCAGGAGGCAGCTGGTCAATGTTTCTCTCTCATCAACGTTTCTAGCTTTTATCTCTCTCCCTTCCTCTCTGTAAAAAATCAATAAAATATATTAAAACAAACAAACAAACAAACAACAACAACAACAACAACAAAACACTTCACCCTGATGGCACAGTCTGGTGGGAGACACAATCTGTATATAAAAGTGTGAGGGATGCTATATTGGCAACATTATAAAGCCCTGACAACAACAACAACAACAACAACAACAAAACACTTCACCCTGATGGCACAGTCTGGTGGGAGACACAATCTGTATGTAAAAGTGTGAGGGATGCTATATTGGCAACATTATAAAGCCCTGTGCTCTATAGAGATTTGACAGTAAGCACTTATATCTGCCCAAGGGATGAGTTGACATAGGAAGGAGGTTTTTTAGGATAAAGAGTTTTGATGAATAGTTGTGGGTGGGGTGAAGATAATTTCAAGTCAAAATAACTTGAAAGAGGCATAGGAAATAATTGAAAATTGAAGGTATTTATCAGATCATGTTAGTGATAATAATATAAAAGTGTTCAGTTCTTTAAGTCTGATTCTAGTTACTTATTTATTAGCACATATTGAGTTTATTGTAAATCAGTGTACATGTAATATTTGCTTTTTTATTAACTTTATTCAGTTATTTGATGATGGGGCAGGTTTGTTGCATCTTTTTATTAAAGCAAGAGGTCCTAACTGTTTAAATTCTATTTTAGATTATAGCATTTGATGAGCTGAAGACTGATTACAAGAATCCTATAGACCAGTGTAATACCCTGAATCCTGTAAGTTATATCGGAGTTTTCTTTAGATTTTAAAGCTGTTTTTGCTTTTAACTTGAAATAATTTGAAAATGGCCAATATTCTCAGTAGCATGATATATTTGTACTTTTTGAAACTGACTTTAAAAAGTATTATTTTTCCTGTCCTGCTTGACTGTTCTGACTGTTATTAATCTGTTGGTGATCTTGTCAGCTGTCATACTAACATTCTTCCAATCTGCTTTTTACATTGTCGGCCAAAGACAGTTGAAAAGGTCAAAAAGATTAAAAGAGTCAAAATTGCATTAAAGGTGTGTACTGCTTTTTAGTTTAATGTTTTCCTGCTGCATTCATTTCATGGGGAGGGTTAGGGCATTTGTATCTGTAAAATGTTATGTTCAGTGTGCTCGTTCATATGCCTGTTGAGGTTTATGCTTTCATGAAATGCCATGTTTTATGCAAATGCTTGCTGGCTCTGCCAAGTAGGGAAAGCTGTTAAATGCTTATGCATTTAAAAAAAAAATATCATAGCTATAGGCACTTCTATGTTGCATTATTTGGTACAATGTTTGATAGTTGGTTAACATAAAATGACTTTAATGGATGGCAAGATTATTTACCTGTTGTTACTTGGGAGTCTTTAGATTTAACTTTAATTATGTCTCCTCTGGAATTAATTCTGTTTCAGCTGATGTTTAATCAGAGCGTTTTAGGTAGCTAGCTCTGTTCGTTGGCTCTGGAATCTTGCAGTAATGCTAACTTGTTAACTCATGCTGCCAGAAATTTGTGGACAATTTGTATACAATTATCTACAAAATTATTTCTAATACATATATCCACTCTAAATTTCTAAAACAGACCTGTCTTATACTAGATTCTGATGGGTTTAATTATAATGTAGCTCATTGTGCTTGGGGATTCTCTCTATATTTTTACTTCATTTACTTACCTCATTTAGAAAGAATCCCCTTTAGCCTGTAGATTTGATTTTTCCTAGCTGGTCAGAAACTGAAAGGTGGTTTTTAAGAAAGCTTTGGGTACTTTAAGATATAGTATACTATAATTCATCTTTAAAAATTACTTCATGAAGATGAGAGCTTGTGTAAACTTCAGTTGTATAACATCGTAATTCTCTAGCTTGCTAGAGGGATTTGGAAAAGGATTTATAACAGTGATTTTCAACTAGTGTGTAGCAAGAGTTTTTAAAACATGCAATACATGACTATTTAGTCAGGGGCACTGACCTCTTCTCCCTTAGATTGTCAAATAAAAAATGACAACAGCTAAAACAGTAGCCATTGGTGTGAATGAATCAAAATTATAGCTATTTTTTTTTTCAGATAGGCAAAATATATCTTTTTTTGTGTGCCACAGAATTTTAGTAATTAGTTTATGTGTGCCACAGATTGAAAAAGGTTGAAAGTTGCTAGTCTATAAAGTTAGTTTGCTACTTTATTATTGTTTCTTAGATAAATATGAATGATGGGATAGATTTCTAGTTTGCTTTTAAAGAACTGTTAAAATATGACGAGTATATACATTTAAAAGTATTATCTTACTAATTGTTTCTCTGCTCTTATGAAACAAAATATAAGATGACTGCCTTTTCATTGGAAAGTAATGATGTTCATTGGAAAACATCTTAACACACTATTACAAGAAATTTAGAAACTGAAGTTTCTCCTTTTGACAGTTGTTTAATATTAGTATTCTGTCTTTGGCTTTTCACTACTTCAAAAAAGCAAATCATGACGAGAATAATAATAGCTGAAATCAGACGAGTGCTTTCTTGGGTTCCAGCCTCAGAGCTGAGCATCTGATCTTGGGTTTTGCCATCCAGTTCTCACGACAGTTTATTTTCATGAATAGGAGAGTAAACAGGCTTAGAGAGATTAAAGCACCTTGCTCAAGGTTATACAGCAAAGGTATAACTAGAATTTGAATCCAACAACCTGATTGTTAAGCTCATCCTCTTGTATTTTCCTACTTTACTATAAATTGAAGAGGGACTAATTTCACTTTAACATAAGAAGATGTGTTTGGGATATCCTAATGCTGCAATATGTTGGGAGGAAATTTTTATACAAGCACAGGTTGTATTTTGGATTAGATGCTGATAATTAGCTTAATAGCAGTGCATCTAACAGTTTTCCCTATTAAAATTTTGTTTTGACAATTCTGCCAAAGTATGAGGGAAGACAAATATTATTATTTTTTAAAATGTGAGCCTTAACTAGAGAATATATTGATTTATATGTTAAAGTACTATCATTTCCATATTGTATGAGGTATTTTTTTCTGGAAGTTTTTGTATCAATGTTGTTTCCTAGGTGGAATAACTTTTATGCCACTTATGGGGAAATTTTTGTCTCCTAAAGAACAACCAGAGAGGGTTGGTTTTTATGATAGGTGCATAATAAAATTTTCTGGATTTTTTTTTTTTTTTTTTTTTTTTTTTTTTTTGAGAAGGAGTGTAGCATTTGTTTCAGATTAGAACTGGTAGAGTTACAGATTTTCTCTGTCACTAAAGTATATTGTTTAAAGTCAGTAGGGATCATACTTTAAAAATCATTCTCTCCTCATACCTCAGCCTATAAGTGTAGGGCAAAACTTGGGTGATGATTCATATTGTTATCATAGATATTAATGGGCGTTTAGAGGGCCAATTTTAATTATCTTTATTTAAAAGAAAAATCCCATAATTTAAATTAGGATTGTAAACAGCACTGTAGTAGAACTCCTAATAAAATATCCTTTTTTTTTTTTGGTTTGTTCTGGTTGTAGTCAGAGTTTTAAAGATTTCCTATGGACATTTTCTTTAGAGACTGTAGGTGTTAATTTTGATGTTAAATGCTAGCTTAAAGGTTCATACTATTTACAAGGTTATATACTTAACCCTTTGCACTCCGAACCATTCTGGACATTGGCTACCAGCTACTCAACGCTACTTTGCGGCGGAAACATGCGTTGAATTAACTCAATTCCCCGTAATCACTAATAAACTGCAATGTCCCCTGAGAGGGGACATCCGAGTGATATGCTAGAATTCCGATGTCCTCTGTGAAGGGACAGCGGAGTGCAAAGGGTTAAGTTCGTAGAAAATACCTGTTTGGTGGTGTGGAAAAATTAGTTTTATTGGGATTTCATTTAAAATAATATTGATTAAAAACTTCTCTCTGTACCTTTAAATTGGAAAAGGTAATTTGGCAGTATTAGAAAATCGGTTTGAATGTAGAATATAGTTATTATTTCTATAGCTATGGTTTCCCCTAGGAAAGATCTGATAATGTTGAGGATTCATATAATTTGGTATGATGCAAACATTTGGGAAACTGCTTTTCAGCTGTCACTTATAGGCAGTTCTTAGGCTGCAACATGTAATGAAAGGTGTTATTTTAAAAAATATATATTTTTATTGATTTCAGAGAGGAAGGGGAAGGGAGAGAGAAATCTCATTGATGACAGAGAATCATTGATTGGCTGCCTCCTGGACTTCCCACACTGGGGATCGAATCTGTAAACCCCAGCATGTGCCCTGACCCGGGAATTGAATCAGGACCTCCTGGTTTATAGTCGACGCTCAACCACTGAGCTAGCTGCCGGGTGGTTTTGGTATTCTTATTTACAAAGTCATTAGGCTGAAATCTTTAGGATGAGAAAGATAATTTAAAACAAAGCATTAACTCCTGGTCATTTTATAAAAAGCATTTTACTTGAATTGATTTTTCCTCACTTAGTACTACCTATTGTACTATTAAAAGATTTATTTTGTTCTTAAATTCTGAGTTACTGGTCTGCACTGTCTTTCATTGGAAAGCAGGCTTAACGAAACAGGAAGGCCGTGTAAGAATGGAAGTGCAGGAACTGGGGAACATTCCAATTTCTTGGGTCAGAGCTGTCTTTTCCCTCCTACATTGCAGAAAGCACATCATTTGTATTTGTGCATATTAGTATTCTTTCCTCCCTGACTGTGCTGAGATTATTGGCTGTTGGCTTTCCATTGAAAAATTACTTTGTGGTAATGTGATGTGGTTTGTTAAATACTGTATATGTAGCATTCTGGGTTACTGTTAAAGGATTAAAAACACTAATGTGTAAACTTCTAAAGGGGAGTTTTGTTTTTGTGGATTTTTAAAAATATGTTGCATGTGATCAGATTATCTCATTTTTGTAATTTTATCATTTTAGAATAGTAGAAAAAAAAGTATTCCAATTGATCAGCAAAGAACTAAACAATCATCTGGGTGGTAACTTTGTATAATATAACTTAGTATTGCTTTAATAATATGAGTTTTAAAGTTTAGATTTTATTCTTTTAGTACAAGCTATATCCTCTTAGCCACTTGCTTGCAATCCTGCTTTGGTAAAAAGTTAAATATGGAAATGAAACTCAGTAGTTTCATCTTTGAGTCTAGGAAAACAGTAATTTTTCATTATGGAAACTTGGTTGCCACCTGCTTTCCAAGTTAACAGTTGATTGAACGCCCAGGCATTTTGATAACTGGCCTGTGTTTTTCTTCCAGCTTGTACTTCCAGAGTACCTCATCCATGCCTTCTTCTGTGTCATGTTTCTTTGTGCAGCAGAGTGGCTCACCCTGGGTCTCAATATGCCCCTCTTGGCATATCATATTTGGAGGTAATATTTAGATATACTACTAATACTTTTCCTAATTAAATTATGCTATAGTTAATATGGTTGTCTTACTTGCTAGTTACCTAAATAAAAACTGGAAATTAGTTGGCCTTTATTTTAAAAATAAAGTGGATGAGCAAATAACTGATTTACTATACTTCTTAGACTCTAGAGAGTTTGCTTTATTACTCTTTAAAGGTGTTTTTTTTAATGAGGTATAACTTATATACAATACTGTGCAAAGTCTGAATGAATGTACAGCTCAATGAATTTATACATATGTATACACCCACGAAACCACCACCAGATCAAGACATATGCCAGGTCCAGCCCCATCCCAGTCTGTTACCCCTGTGCTTCCCAAAGAGAAACTGACTTCTAAAACCTTATATTAATTTTGCCCTTCTTTGAACTTTATATAAATCCAAACTTAAATGTGGTTATTTATAAAAGATATTCATATTTCATAACTTTTAAAAGTTCTACCTGATCTACATAGATGTAAAAATGACATTGCCCTTGATTTTAGGCAATATATACTGAAGAAGTGTTTAAGAGTAAATGATATCACATTTATAGCTGAACTCTGAAATGGTTAAAAAAAAAAAGTATGTATATTTAGAGATAAAATGAGAAAGAGAAAGATAAAGCAAATGTGGTAAGTTTGAACATTTGGAATGTCTGGGTGAAGTGTTCTTGTACCTTTCCTGTAAGTAAAATTATGTTAAAACGTTAACTCTCATATACTTTTTACAATTATTCCTATTTTTCTGAATTTCTGATAAAGTGTAGAGGAGGCCAGATGTGACTTCTTTAGCTCTCTTGTTCTGCTCATTTAGGGGCTGCAGTTTTAAAATTAAGATTATGAAAGGAAAGAACTCCATCTCTAAAAGTTTTCTTTCCTATGTGGACCAAATATTAGGGAAAAAACCTTCCTTCCCATCTTGAAGGTCTGCTCCCTTTCTGAGTAGCTGATAGACTGTGTTTATTTCAGGTATATGAGTAGACCAGTGATGAGTGGACCAGGACTCTATGACCCTACAACCATCATGAATGCTGATATTTTAGCATACTGTCAGAAAGAAGGATGGTGCAAATTAGCTTTTTATCTTCTAGCCTTTTTTTACTACTTATACGGGTAAGTTTAAAAAATAAAAATGTGATATTTCACTTTGCTGTCTAAAAAGTTTGCAGGCATTATGATCTTTTTTTTTGGTCTGTTTTATGTTTTTATATCTACATCTATATATCTCTAATTTTATTAAAAAAGAAAGAGTCATTTCGATCCTTTCCTTGAGCAAGGCCAGGGCTGTTGCTGGTACTCAGGGGGTTCTGGGGGGTGGTAGAGGGGGGCGGGAAGCCATCCTGGCTCGAGGAGCGGTGGAGGCCAGCAGTATGGAGGCCAGCAGTATGGGGTCGGACGTTCCCGTGGGCATTTCTGCTGACTTAAGCGGAGCTGGAAGCCTGGGAGGTGGGGGCCGGCCCACGGGTCTTTGGCTGACGAGCATGCGGCTCCCTTGGGTCTGCGTCATTCCTGGCAGCAACAGGGCTTTTGGAGAAAGGCTGGGGCTGCAGCTGCACCCCGGGGGGGGGGGGGGGGGGAGGTCAGGAACCCAGGGCCTTGCAGGAGGTGGGGGAGGGGGTGCATATGGGCCCCCGCTGGCTGGGGGCCCTGTGGGGGCTGTTGCCATGACCTTCAGCTGGATTCGCTGGGCCCCCCACCTCTTGCAGGCATTATGATCTTAACACCTTAGTATCCACTTGAAGAATAACTGTCTTGAATGGTGGTAACTGGTAATGACAGTGCACACCAGCCAGTTCACATGGAATGTGAATATACTGGTACTTGTCAAAGCAGCCAATTGGTGTGCTGTCGGAAGCAGATAGTTTGGCTAGGCATGCTATTTTCTAAGTTTTTAGGTTCATTCATTTAGTGAAGGACCATCCTCATTCTTTATGGTAAGGTGATGGCATTGGGAGGATATGGCTTGGTGAGTTTGAAAAACAAAACAAGAGTCTCGAGATTGTGTTTAAATTTTTTTCTATCATGCTTCATAACTTGTATATCTTGTAGTTTGATTAATCTGAATTGGATGGATGAAAAACAGTTCTATCTTATAGGATGGTGTAATTATCACCACTCTCCCCCCCCCCCCCCCCCCACACACACACACCTTGATAGATTCATGTCATTCCTTTATAGTAGGGTTTTTCAGTCTTGGCACTGTCGACATTTTAGGTTGAGAGTCAGTCTGGGTGTGTGGAGCAGTCCTGTGCATTGTAGGATAGTTAGCAACATCTGTATCCACTAGCCAATAGCACCCCCGCCCCAGTTGTAATAACCAGAAGTGTCTCCTGCGGGGCAAAATTGCCTGTGTGAGAAGCACTGCTCTGAGTGGACTGCAGGTGAAATAAAATGGCTGCTTATTAAAACTAGAAAAGGATATTGTCAGGTGGAAGTATCACTTTTCTTTAAGTGGTATAAATAAACTCTTCCCATCTTTTATTGCTTTATATTTAGCTAGAGGGCTTTCCATCTCAGATTTTCAAAATCTGAGGGAAATTAGCTGTATGAGGTGTACTTGTTATAACTAGCTTCCATTTCCTCCTATTTGTTACTTGAAAACTTGCTAAGTATTATATTGTAAGTTTATGCTCATGTTCTCTATATCATGTGCATTTCCATTGTAGAAAAGGATGCATGAAAGGCTTGACTGGAATATGCCTTTAGAGGTTATAATTATGAAAATGAGTATCTCTCTTACTGTTACCTACAGATGTCACTCATATGAAACAAAGAAAGCAAATCAGTTCTGAAAAGTGAAGTTCTATGTGTCATCCCAATTTCTTGTTTTTATTTTTAAGTTTCGGTAACAAATGTCTGGAACAGTGCTAGCATATAGTGGACACTTAAAACTTTACTGAAAGAAATGAGTGATTGGATAAATCACTGGAGATGTACAGTGTGGGAAAATGTTCACCAGGAGTTGGTGGTACTAGGGCATTCATTTCTGTTTTAAATTGAGTTTGCTCACCTCCTTGGTTTGCGTTTTCATTAGGGATACATGTTTCTGAAGCATGCTATGCCTATAGAGCATCTATTATAGAATTGTCTGGCAGTCTGTAAGCCTAAATCAAATGGATAAATCTATTGCTGTTGCCTAGAGCCTTTCTCTAATGGGAAAGTTCCTTAACTGGCCATTCCCATCTGTACAATGGGGTTAGTAATAGTACTCACCTCTGAGGACTGCTTGGAACTTTCAAGGAGGTCATGTATGAAGACCTCACAGGGCCTGGCAGGAAGTGACCCCTTGAAGACTGGCTTCTTTTAATAGACTCAGCTCCCAAGTGTGGAATTTTGGATTTCTCTAAGCTCAGATCCCCCATTGAGCTTTCAGCTGTGCTGTTCTACTTGCTAAAATGGGAAAGGAATAGGGAACAACTATTGCACATGCACCAAGCTAAGTCCTACCTTAGGCAAAAGTCCATAAATGCCAGTTAACATCATGTTTGAACTTGTTGGTCTTTTTATGTTCTGTGATGGTGTGATACCACAAACTTGCTTGCTATATAGAACAGACTTTTTGGCGCTCTTAGTTTTTATAATGAGGAATATTTGAATTAACAGCCTTTTTCTTCTTTTCAGCATGATCTATGTCTTGGTGAGCTCTTAGAACAACACACAGAAGAAGTGGTCCAGTTAAAATGCATGCAAAAAGCCACCAAACGAAGGGATTCTATCCAGCAAGATCCTGTTTCCACGAGTAGCCTATGGAATCTGATCAGTTGCATTAAAAAATGACTCCTTATTTTTTAAATGTTTCCACATTTTTTGCTTGTGGAAAGACTGTTTTAATATGTTATACTCAGATAAAGAATTTAAATGAATTACGTATAAATTAATGTAAAGTGATTACCTCTGGTGTTGACAGGTTGGAACTTGCACTCCTTAAGGAACAGCCGTGATCCCTTGAATGATTGCATTAATTATTGTCCTTAGTCCATTGGAAGCTTTTGTTTATAGGAACTTGTTTTGGTTTTAATGAAATGCCATCTAATTACAAATAGCTGTAGATGACCAGGTGCTTCTGATGAACTGAAAATATATATCTGATCTGTGGGAAACTTTATGGGTTTCCTCATATATCATGTAGATGATTATATAAGGATACATTAAAAAAATAAGAAGAGTGGGATTTTTCCCCCCTTTAACTTGAATATTACCCCCGTATATTGCATGAATGAGAGATTTCCCATATTTCCATCACAGTAATATACTTGCTTTAATTCTTAAGCATAAGTGAATATGATATAAAAACATATGCTGAATTACTTATGAAGAATGCATTTAAAGCTATTTTAAATGTGTTTTAGTTTGTAAGACATTACTTATTAAGAAATTGGTTATTATATTTACTGTCCTAATCTGGTGGTAAAGGTAGTCTTAAGAGTTTGCAAGTACTTCAGATTTACAAAACGGTTTGAAAGAGAATATTGTATAACCACCCTGCTGTTCCTTTAGTGCAATACAATAAAATTCTGAAATTAAGATGTTCAGTGCATTGTTTTAAAGATTCCAAATAGCAATTTCATAAACTTGCTTAACCCACAATAAAGACATTTACTGCCAGTTTTTAAAAAATAGAGAATTATTGTTTTTTATTTAATACTATGTCTGAATCTAAAAAGGAAGAATTTTAAGTGACTAAGCACATTACCTTCTGTTGTCACTTGTCTTGATTCATAACCATTGATGGCACAACAGTATCATTTTTCTTACCAACTTAAGAAAAAATTGCAGCACTTATAAGTTGTAAATTTTTTTTTTCCTTTTTCAAATAGCAGATTTTAAGATAAAATTACTTAATTTTTGTTCAGGCAGTTAAATTATGGCATGCATGTTTTCATAAGCATTTTTGTGTTGCATTTGGGATGAGGAAGTTAAGGCATTTGAAAATAGTGTAAGTGGATAAGTTTCTTAAACAATGAAAACCAATATATAGATATTGCATATAATGATCAAGGGTATTTATGGATGTCTTTGTAGAAATCTAACTCTAAGAAAAATGCTCCCTCACATTTGGGAGAGTAGCTGTCACTGTTTGGGATTGGGTAATGGAGGAGAATATGTTGAAGAAGAGGATGTAGAAACAGGAGAATGAGAAGAGTCACACCATTTCATAATGAGAAGTTTTCAGACCTTATATATTCTAGCCTGGGGAACACCTCGAGGAACTGACTGTTGGTCAGTTCCTGCAGTAAACTAGTTGCCAAGCACAGCAAGGCATTGAAAATTCATGCTCTGAATATGAAGAGTCATTATTCAGTTTTATATCCACCTGATTATATCAGTACCCACTCCTGATTTTTCTTTCTTGTGATCATGAGACCCAGCCAAGTCTATCCACCAGATAGGTTTCCTGGGCTTTCATAAATAATTCTGTCCAAGTATTTTTAAAACCTTTATAAGTTTTAACAAATATCCTTTTAATAATGTATTCTGGGATATTCAGGGGTAATACAGGGTTTATTGGTTGCAATTTGGGGAAGCCACCTTCTCATGCTTTAAAAACTAGATATGGCCTCAGCTGGTTTGGTTCAGTGGATAGAGCGTTGGCTTGCAGACTAAAGGGTTCTGGGTTCGATTCTCGTGAAGGGCACATGCCTGGGTTACGGGCTGGATTCCCAGTGGGGGACGTGCAAGAGGCAGCCAATCAATGATTTTGTCATCACTGATGTTTCTATCTCTCTCTCTCCCTTCCTCTCTGAAATCAATGTATTTAAAAAAAAAGAAAGACAACATATCTACTACTAGATATGTAGTCCTTAGCTGATTCTTCAAAGATGATTGACCGTGAAAGTCACCCATCTTGGTGGTAGGTTGTTAGTTCCTAAGCATGTAGGTGATTAGAACATTGAGTACTTGGATGGTCTTTCTATATCTACTACTAATCTTTACCTTTTCTAGTGTTTTAGGCAATTTAATCCCTTACAGGAGAAAGCAGAAACAAAATTACATTTGACAGTATCCCATTAACTCTTTCCTTGCTCTGAATTTAATTTGTGTCTCCCCTCTTCCCCATTAATCTGTTTTGTTTTTGTGTTAATCCTCACTCTAGGATATTTTTTCCAATGATTTTTAGATAGAGTGGAAGTGAGGGAGAGGAAAAGATGAAAAGAGAGAAGCAGCATTGTGAGAAACATTGATTGGTCGCCTCCCACATGAACCCTTGACTGGTAGACCCTTCAGTGTGCAGGCTGGTGCTCTAACCACTGACCCACATTGACCAGGCGCAGTTAGCCTTACTTATATTATTCTTGTAGGTTCAACTGAGGCATAGTTAGGTTGGGTTATAATCCTTTCAGTAATCCCTCTGCAGACAGCTGTTTAAATACTCTTCCCCCCCCCCTCCTTGTTACAATTACTTTTGATATTAAATGCTTTAAGAGATTTCCATCTCAGAAACCATTACTGTAACACATTGTGACTTATGTTTACACTAACAGCTCTTTGTTGCTATAGGTACTATAGATTCGCCTGAATTAGAAATTTTATGTAACAAATGTAGTCTGTTAGGAGCTATTCTCTTGAGTCATACTACTATATCATTGGCATTATGTCCCTTTAGAACTAAGGAAGCATAGAGGTAGAAACTTAATTTGAATACCGGTATCTGAATTTCATTAGTGGCGGTTCTTGATTTTCATAGTGCTCAACTGATTTCCCCACCCCCATCCCAGAGTAGAGGAGTTGGCTCCCAGGCTATATACAAACTGCGCATTTGTTTGAAATTTAAATTATTTTCCATGAGAAGGAGGCATGATAGGAAATGACCAGACTGTCCACTTTTGACATGTACCAGGTATGACTAAAGCATTTGAGAAACACCATGGATTGAACTATGAACTGTCAGACCTACCAGTCAGGTTCAGATACCCTGATAATGGTCTCACAAAGCACATTCAGATTGCAGTGTCTCTGTCTCTTAAAGGTTTAGTATTTTCCATCTTGACCACTCATGCTAATAGCTCTCGTAATAGCTCTTATCTGCTCCTCAAATCAAATCTTTTTTTTTGAAAACATTGGATATTTGTGTATTTGAAAGGAAATAGAGCTGAAAATATACTTTGAAGCTAGCAAAATATTTTTTTTGGTACAGCATTTTTCTTTTCCTTAGGTTATATGTTTATGATCAGTGTTCATGGGATGGTATTGCCATGGTGCAAATAGCGACTTCTGTTATATCCAGCAGGGGGCTGGGCTTTCATCTTAAGTGTGGCTACAGCATAGCATTGTGATACATGGAGCCCACTCAAGTATTCATCTGTATTTTAAAAGTACACATCTAAGTTTACTTATTTACATAATGTAATACCCACCAATGTGCATCTCCTAATCAGTTGTATAGTATAATTGTAAATCAGAAATTCTGATAGCAAAAATATTTTAAAACATTCTTTTCAAAGGGGAAAGATAAAAAATAGACACTGTGTCTAGTACTGTTCATGAAAGTACTCATTCTTTTTTTTTTAAAATATATTTTATTGATTTTGTACAGAGAGGAAGGGAGAGAGATAGTTAGAAACATCGATGGGAGAGAGTCATCGATCAGCTGCCTCTTGCACACCCCCTACTGGGGATATGCCCGCAACCAAGGTACATGCCCTTGACTGGAATCGAACCCGGGACCCTTCAGTTCCCAAGCCAATGCTCTATCCATTGAGCCAAACCGGTTTCAGCTCATTCTTTTTTTTTTTTTTTTTTTTTTTATTGTTTAAAGTATTACACATAGAAGTACATATGTGTAAATATCTCCTTTTTTCCCCCATTGACTTTCTCCCAGCATCCCCTACCACGTCGCATGCCCTCATCCCACATAGTCATTCTTTTTGGAAACTAATGTTAGTCTCAAATAACTATTTATTTTGCTTAAACCAATCATAGATCTGTAAGACCAGCAGCTGTTGAGTCTCTGGGACTAATATATAGCTCAGAAGTTGGTTCTTAACTAATACTCCAGGGTGACATCATGAGCAAAATGTAGTTCTATTTCTGGATATGTTGAGTAGCTTTTGTAGAACAATTTTGTTAAAGCTAAAGCTAAACGTTTAAAAGGGGTGTACAGCTTTGCTTTTGTTTGGTTTTGGAAAATAGTATTAACAATATAAGGTGAACAATCTATGGGATGAGAGTAAATGTCTTATCCTACATTGATTTTTGTTAATGCATATTGTGGAAGTAAGATCTAGTGAATATCTTGATATGGAAAAGAATAATTTTATTGTTCAATGGTTTGCTAAACATTGCATTTCTTTGATTACCATGTTTATATATTCTGGAGAAAAGTTCTTAAATAATAGATTGATGACTGGGTAGACCCTAAAACTGCTAAGAGAAATATAGAATGTAGTTAGCTATTTGTGCTAAAGGTTTGTTAAAATCCAAGTTAACCTTAAAGGTGCTGTACCACCATCCAAAGAAAATGCCGTTAAGTATTATAGTCCTACCTTCCTAGTGCTTGCTTGATTTTGGTTTGTATATTTAATAAAAACCATATAAAATGTTTGCTTGTGTAGTTTATGGATAATGGTTGATTATTAAGTGTATTAATTCAATTTCAGCAGTTAACTTGGCATGAGCAGGATTCTGGACAGTCTCTCAGCCTCTCCTTTCCCACTATTTGGAGGACTGAACCACAGGTTGGGCAGATAAGATATTTTTTTAAGACTGATTTACATATTAAATTTTAACTGGACAAGTATCTTGCGTAGTGCCATCCCATGTTTCTTTTCTGTCTTGGAATAACTTGTTTTTCCATATCCTTGGTGCTAAAGTAGTTTAGTCAAGCATTTTAAATAGAAAGGGCTAATGAGCACTTGCAATGGAAACTAATATATGTGTTTACTTGGCAATTCAATTGATTATAAAGGGTTTGATTAATCCAGGCCAGTATTTTCCCAAGCATTAATAAGCTATTGGAAGAAAGCTAATATAAGATTTGGTCATGTCAATTTGAGTGACTTTCTAAAATTTAACAGACTATTGTGATTTTAACTTGTATTTGGTTATAATACCAAAATCATTAGGCAGGTCAATCTGTGATTGCAGCCTGTACTTTAAAAAAATAACTTTTCTTGCTTCAACTTGGCATTTATTGTGTTGGAAAAGAAATCCCCAGTTTAAACTTAAGAATGTTAAAATATTGCATATTATGGTACATACTGGGCCTTTGAAGTTCCCAAACAGCACTAGAGGCAGCCCTCAGGTTAAGTCGGACTCAATCTACGTCGTTTCGTGGTTACGTCGCCATCTCCCATTTATTTGTTAAAAAAGTTCTGCCATTTTGATGTATGTACCTATATGCTTTATTTATTTATTTTGTTTACTTACCACAAGTAAAGGTCAGGAATTGTTATCTTTATTTTAAAATTTTTGACTGTTTCACTTCATTACTGCTGTGTATGTGGTCCATGTCAGTGACGTAGGTGCTTATATAGGTGGGTTCGACTTATGGCGAAAATTGCGTTATGTTGCAACGTGGGAACGGATCTCCGACGTAATCCAAGGACTTACTAATTGTTTTAAAATGTTCTCTCATGAAATTAAAGTCGATTAGCAGCAGCAAGAACAATGTGAGACAAAATAGGTTTTTTTTTTTTTTTGTAATTATATGATTATTTACAAACTTAAGTTTTGATGGAGTGAAATTTACTTTGTCTTGTGTGCAAGTGCCTATGATCCTGGTTCACATTTGTGATTACAAGTAACCAAGAGAGTCAAGGGACCCACCTCATATGACATTAAAACACTGATGTCTATTAAAACAGGTGGCTTTGATTCATTGTATAATCCTCATCTATAGTCCAAATGACTGCTTTTGGTAGCTCAGCCTTGAAAGACAAAGACTGCTGATGAGGAAAAAGACATGTTCAATAGCATTAGGTAAGGTGAAGGAGAATTGGAGATTGTTAATCTGTAGATAAGTACTTTATACAGTAAGAATGAAAAAAGGGATTAAAGTCATTTGTGTAGTTTCTAGGGTGGAAAAAATGGTCTAAGTCCAGAGCAGCTGTCTGAACCAAGAATTTCATGTCTCTGAAAATGTGCAAGCAAATGCTGGCTGGATACACAGCTGTTGGGAATGATTCAGTATTGGCAGGGAGTGATGAGATGATCTATGAGATCCCTCACAATTTTATATGTCTATGAAGTACAAAAAAATGGGAGGGAGTTTGAGAGGAATAAAAAGTGAGTTATTTGAAAATAATTTTAGCTTGCTTGGGTACCTATACCAGTTTTCACACTTAGTACTATGTTACATGCCACTCAGTAGTTATAATAATATAATGAAGTAAAAATGTGGTAAGAAAATGCAACCAAGTATTTTTCCCATATGCTTTTTCAGCATTATCTCCAGGTAAAATATACCAGAGCAGCCAGTTCATTTCCAAGAAGGAAAACTATATAGCAATTATTTTATCCAATAAGAGATGAAAGACACAATGAAATTTATCAATAAAACCTTTAGAAATACCTGCACATATACATTTACATTCCAGTTGGTAACACTTCAAATTATATTGGAGAACTCAAATATTAGACATGGTCATATATATGCTGTTTGAAGTTCGTGTTTTTATCTAGATACAGATCTTGAGAGTGAATCTTTTGAAGACAGGTGTGCAGCAAGTTTGTCCCGGAAATCATGAAGATAATTATATTGCTGAAAAAGGTAAAGATGTATTGAAATACATTGTAGAAAACTACCTCCCAGAGTAGTCTCAATGCTGGTAGGAATCAGGAATCAGAAATATTTGCTAAAAACAATCCTGTATCCTTTGGGGTAGGCAAGTATTTATATTCCAATAAAGCTGCATAAAGTGTGAAAAACTGCTTCAAAAAATTAGGTAGCTTGAAACATGAATATAAATCTGTAAAAATCCCTTCTCCCTTTACTGGAAAGAGCAAACAAGATTAAAAATAGGTAGTGAAGGAATTCTTTTTGTAAGTGTATTTTCCCCTGTGGGAGGGGGGTGTGGGTAAGTAGGGCGGAGAAGGACTTTCTAAAACAATTAACTTTGGTATAGTCAAAATCTATTTCTTATAGAAGCCATATATATATATATATATATATATATATATATATATATATATATATTTACTTTTTGTGATGACATAATCCATTTGGAATAATTTTCAAAGTAGATATCACAAATCATTAATCTTAAGCAAATTTAAATTTTTAATTTGAGTTTTAATAGCTTCCTAGAGGATATTCTTACTCTGCCAATAATCTCATTCCCTCTCATTACTGAGGGGTGGAAATTGCATATTGCTAATAAGGAAAAGCCTGTTTGCCACAAAATGCTAAAGTGATAAATTGAAAGCCCATACTAATGTGGGCTTAATTCTCTCCAAGATTAAAGATGTAAAAAGTTCATATATGTGTACAACTATGTGTATTTTATTTTGTTTTGTTTCAGAGTGAGACGAGAACATTTTGAATTTGAAGCCTCATTTGATCTTAATAAAGGGAGCTCTGTTTTCAGAATGTGTGCATGACCTTATTTGAGCACGGAGAGCAAGGCTGCTTGGGGAACTCATCGGTTGTAATAATTCACATTCATTATACTTGGTTAGGTTTGCACCCTGGGAAGATGGACTGTCCAGCTCAGGGAACCACCTAAAAGCCAACATTCTTTAGTGCCTGCTCCCGATTGAGCTTTACAGAGCTAAAATAAAGTGAAATCTGCAGAATCTTTTCAGCAACATGCTTAATCCTAATATATAAAAAGCTAGGAGCTGTCACAACTGAAACTGGACAGAAAACCTAACACAGGCTGCGTGGGGTGACCAGGCTGGCAGGGTGGGTGGGGGAGCCAAACAGGGAGGCAGGGGGTTAGCAGTTAGGGCCGATTAGGCCAGAAGACAGAGGTGATTAGGGATGATCAGGCTGGCTGGGGTGGGGTGGGGCAGTTAGGGGCAATCAGGCAGGCAGGCAGGTGAGCAGTTAGGAGCCAGCAGTTTCAAATTTTGAGTAGGATGTCCACCTTCTGTTTTAGGCCCAATCCCCGGCAGTCAGACATCCCCCGAGGGGTCCTGGATTGGAGAGGGTGCAGGTTGGGCTGGATTTCATGCACCGGGCCTCTAGTACATAATAATATCCTTGGGCGTTGCCACCACAGTGCTTTTGAAGTGTTAAGGGAAAAGTCAATGTGGAAAAACGCCACTTTGATTATCCACAGTAAAATTGCTTTACATTTTTTTGTATTATAGTCATTCATCTATCTTTATTAAGTGTTTGGATGATATAAGGTCTTCATTAGATCTTTTTTCAGTAAAAATCTACCCAAGGAATTCCCAAATTTATGGTAACCATCTCCTTTTTCCAAGTGAGATGATTCATTTCCAGAATTGAAGGGGCAAAAACTGAACAGTTGTAGATCTTGGAAGAGTAAACTGAGTTGTTCACTTTTTTTCAATATTGTAAACTTTTTTAGACATCCAGGTTATATTTAAAATTAAAACAATTAAAATATAATCAGGTGGTACATGAATAATAGAATGTTTTGGATTTTTATTGCTCTTTTGATAATAGAGGGGTTCAGAACCAGCCACCCCAAGATATATGGTCAGTGGTACATTGGTTATTTTGAGCTAAAGGCAACCAAGAGAAACTTCTGCCACCTCCTCCCCAGCTCTCTAGAGGAATTTGAATTAGAGCCTTGTCGATAATGAGTTATTATTGAAGATAACCCATCTATATGGCAGGGCAAACTAATTACTGAACGTAAATTTGATTTTCTCTTGTCAATGTCTCATGCTGATTTAATTATTCAACCAACCGAAAAGAGCCAGAGGAGGGAAGGGGACATATTTTCCTTTCCCACAATGATGAGTTACCCTGTGTTTCTAAAGGTCTGCCTCCCCCCCCCAATCACACTTGCACAAAAACAGTCCACCTCCGTACCTTTATGGTCTGTATTGCTCCAGATCCTCTTAGGTCTCTCAGGCTGTCTATGGCTTGCTGTGGTGATACTGTGTCAGACAGATACAGTAGGAGACAAGCGGCTACTAATGGAACATGATAGGAAAATAGTAAATTATTAACTAATTCATGGTAGGATAGAGTATTTTATATTTAATTACACTTATTTTGGTACAGAACACCAAGTTTGGTATAATTGTTTGAAATGAATTAAAAGGCTGAGGCCTTAGTATGTGTTTTTTGACAGTTAAATTGTAATTTTTAAATGACTGAATTAAAAGTAACACAGGCTTCATTCTTTTTCCCCACATAGCTTTATTGAATTATTAGAGGCCTGATATAGGAAATTCATGCAAGAGTAGGCCTTCCTTCCCCCGGCTGCCAGCAGTGGTTTCCCTCAAGCACCTGGGACCCAGGCTTCCCTTACAGCCCTGGCTTCATCCAGAAGGTTGCCCGGAATGACATCCGGTCTAATTAGCATATTATGCATTTTTTATTATAGATAACTCATATATCATATAAGTATACAATTTAAAGTATACAAGCCAGTGGATTAGTGTATTCAGATATGTGCAGCCATCACCATTTTCACCACCTCAAGAGAAACCCTGTACCCTTTTGTTACCATCCCTCTACCACCCCATCCCCCCAGCCCTAAACAATCAACAATCTATTTTCTGTCTCTATAGATTTGCCTAGTCTACACATTTTTAATAAATGGAATCATATATGGTCTTTTGTGAGTAGCTTCTTTCACTTAGCATAATGTGTTGAAGATTCATACATATTGTGGCATGTTCCTTTTTATGGATGAATACTTCAGTTTTTGGATATATATTTTGTTTATTTCTCAATTGATGGAAATTCAGGTTTCAATTTTTTGGCTATTATAAATAATGCTGCTATAAACATTCACTTATAAATTTTTGTGTGGACATGAAATTTTTATTTCTTTTGGGAATATACCTAGGAGTGGAATTGCTGGCTCATGTATTAACTGTGTTTAACTGAGGAATAGCCAGATTATTTTCCAAAGCAGCTGCACCATTTTACATTCCCACCAGCATTGTATAAGGGTACCACTTCCTCCTTACCCTAGCAAACGCTTATTTTCCATTTTTTAGATAATAGCTATCCTAATGAATATTAAATGGTATCACATTGTGGCTTTTTTGTTATTGTTAATCTTTAGCAGAGGATAGTTTTCCCATTTATTTATTTATTTATTTATTTATTTATTTATTTATTTATTTTTCCGGACAGAGTGGAAGGGAGGGAGGAAGGGAAAGAAAGAGAGAAACATCGATGTAAGACAGGCATATTGACTGGTTACCTCCCACAAGCGAGGATTACAACCTAGGTACATGCCTTGATTGGAATCGAACCTGTGATCCTCTGGTGTTTGGGCCAATGTTGTAACCACTGAGCAACATTGGCCAGAGCTTAATGTGTTTTTGTTTTGCATTTCCCTGAGACTAGTGATGCTGAACATCTCCCCCCCCCTTTTTTTTAAATAAATGTATTAATTGATTTTTAGAGAGAGAGAGGAAGAGAGAGGTATATAGAAACATTGATGGAGAAATTTCGATTGGCTGTCTCCTGCACATCCACTACTGGTGATCAAGCCCAAAAGCCGGGCATGTGCCCTGACCAGGAATCGAACCTGTGACCTCTTGGTTCCTGGGTTGATGCTCAACCACTGAACCACACCAGCTAGGCTGAACGTCTAATTTTCATGTGCTTATTGGTCATTTGTGTATATTTTGTTTGGAGAAATATGTTTTTAGATATATATTTTTAAATTGGATTGCTGTTTTATTATTGAGTTTATGAGTTCTTTATAAATTCTAGTGAGTCCCTTATCAGATGTATGGTTTGCAAATACTTTCCCCATAATGTCTTTTAATTTTGATAGTGTTCTTTAAAATACAAAAGTTTTTAATTTCCATACTGTGCAATACTAGAAGGAATAAATTTATTTCAATGTGATATTTCATTTAATGTTTTCTTCCCCCTAATACATTTTTTTTTTAGTTTAAAGTTAACATATGGTAATTAACTTTGGTTTTCATACTCATGTTACCAGTGGGTATTATTTAGAAGTTACTGTTGGTATCATAACACCTGCATACGGATAACTAAGCAAACAAAACAAAACACAAGAATGCAGGTGCTAAGACTTGTAAATTATGTTTTGCAGAATCCTCCAAAATAATGCTGAAAACACCTCTCGCTCTCACCTCAGCTTGCTAGGGAACACCAAATTTAGTAAACTAATTAAGTAAACTAATGGTCTTAGCAGACTTATATTGTGTTTTGTTTCCTCTTCACACAGTGAGCATATGCCCCAAAAAGAGGAGTTTGCATACTTGAAGTAAAAAAACAACAACTGAATAATGAAAATATATTCCTTACCAAGACAAGATCTTCCAATTCCTCCATAACAGCTGAAAGGGAAGTACAGTTTTGAGATTTATATATTTTCATTCCATCCCAACAATTACAAATAAGGACTAGTTCTTCATGCCATCTATTTTTAACTTTGATGTCCAGCACAGTGCCTTGCAAACTGAGATTAATAAGTATTTTTGAGCTGATGAAGAGCAAAGTGCTTATTTATATGATGACGAGCAGTCATCCTGAACACTTGTAAGGGTCAAGTAGGCAAGGCCTTTTTAGAGACCTCTTTAAACGCCAGGATCTACATCTGAGAAGTGTAACTGGTTACTAAATATGGTAGAAATCAGACTATTTTACCAACTACCACTTGGATGATCTTCCTCTGTCTGAATAAAACCTTAGTGGTTACGGGACAAGTGCTGTCTGTATAATAACTCTTCATTTACATTAGAAGAGTACAGAAGTAGCATACCACAGAGGTTTAGAGCATGGGCTCTGGAGCCCCACTACTTGGGTTGAATCTGTATTTATCATTTATTAGATGCTTGAACCTAAGCAAATTACTTAGCTCCTCTGGGCCTCAGCCTTTTCACCTATAAGATGATGACAGCAACAGTGTCTACTTCATAGAGAGGACTAAATGGGTAACATCTGTAAAGAGCTTAGAACTGAGCTTGGCACATAATGAGAAGTAAATTAATGTTAGTGTTATGAAGATATTAGCAATTCTGCACAACTGATCTCAGGAAAATGAAGATTGACCTTGAAAACAACAAAAGCATTCATTTTAAGCATTTAATCAACAACACTAAAAATGTATTACACACTTCCTAACTTTCTTAGAGCATATACTGAACCTAATTGGGTGCCGATGACTCATCCTGAACATCAATTACTGTAGTGTATTGTAGATGAAGCTCTACATACATGTCTCCTGATAGGATGTGAGGCAGAGGACCAGACAGGCACTGATCTCTAGAGAATTCATGAACTAGCTTTCTACTCAGTGTCCCAGATGTAGGCCAATTTCAGAGATGAGGATCCACTGCAGAAAGGTAGAGTACTGCAGTGGCTTTCTGCAAGATTACTACTACTTTACACCTCTTGCTACTCTTATCTTTCCTCCTCTGTCTGATTGGTTGATTGATTCCTACTCATCCTTCAAAACCCACCTCCAATTTTATGCCCTGAAATGCCTTGCACTCCCCCAGAAACTATCTCTGTCCTGTGTGCTGCCTCATACACACCTTGTGTGTGCTTTGCATTCACATGATAGCATGGTTAGCTGTGGATTCCTTGAGGGTGGGGGCAGTGCTTCACAGTGTGTGTTTTGTATTCAGTTTGTATTTATTTTGTTTTCTTAGTTATCCGTATGCAGGTGTTATGATACTAAATAATACCCACTGGTAACATAAGTATGAAAACCAAGTGTTAAGGGTTGAATTGTGCCCCCAAAAAGATACATTGAAGTCCTAATCCCTAGTGCTGTGAATGTGACCTTATTTGGAAACAGTCTTTGTAGATGTAATCAAGTTAAGATGAGGTCATTAGGGTGGGCCCTCATCCAATCTGACAGGTGTCTTTATAAGAGGAAAATACCATATGAAGGCACGAACACAGAGAGACAACCATGTCATGACTGAGGTAGAGATTGGAGTGATGCAGCTACAAGCCAAGGAATGCCTAGGATTGCCAGCCACTACTGGAAGCTTAGGGAGAGGCAAAGAAAGACTCTAGTCTCAGGGAGTATGGCTGTTGGTTTTGATTTTGAGCTGCTAGCCCCCAGAACTGGGAGAAAATAAATTTCTGTTGTTTAAAGCTATCCAGTCTGTGGTGCTTTGTTACAACAACCCTAGGATATGGTATATAATGGTTATACCATGCTCACTGACTTTATAAAGGAATGAAATATCCAGGGAGAACTAGTGAGACAGTGAAAAAATGTACCAGACCCTCTTTTGGAGGGATAAACTCTAGAGCTGTATGGTCGGTCATCTGGGCACTCGAAGATGGCAGAATGGAGAGGAAATTGTCTTTGTCCCAACAGTAGTTACTCAAGGACACCGTGAAAGTTCTGGGACCATGAAAACTTCCTGTCATCAGATGATTTGGGGGAGTCTGAAGCAGTTAATATACGAAAGGCTGCCCACCCATCTTTCTATCCTGTTTGCACTGTTCAAACATCAGAGTAATTGTTTTGCTAGAACCTATTAGAGTGGAATTCATTAAGCTTCTCTAATCTGAGCTAGTTTGATCTCTAAAAACTTTTCAGTAAATATTTCAAAAATTTACTTGAGAAAAATGCAAAAAAGAAAAAAATTTACTTGAAAAAAAAATCTCAGATTTGGTTTGAAAAAGGGTCCAAAAATTGGAAAATGTTTTTCCCTAGCTACATCTAGTTATCTAGTGAATTTTAGGCTTAGAATATTTAGCAAAGACAACTCTTCATTCTAAAATTTTGCTTTTATAATTAGTAAAGCAATTAGTAATTGCTTACAGTGAGATTATGCTTTTCTCTAGAGCAAGTTTGCCAACTGTAGGATGGCTTCTAGTTCTTTATTCCCTACTAGTTCTCTGTTCATCAGAGTTCAGTTTGGCCACAAACAGGTGTGTACCCTCAAAGACCCTGCGCTACTGTGCTTTGCCTTCAGAACCGGAACTGTTGCATGAGATCCCTGAGCTCTAGATGAAAGAAGAGAAGTTGACTAGGCTTGCCCTTTTCCTACGTGGCCTAAGACTACTTGGTTATTTCGGTTCATCTGCATAATTTCTAACTCAACTCAATGAATTCATGGACTTTAGAGCTTTTGAGGTATTAGGGTATTTAATATTCTATCTTGTTTCAGAAAAGATTAAGCAGCTTATTAGGCTATAAAAAGTATCATGAGCACAGAGGACTGGTTTGCTTCCTGTGCAGGTCCTCTGCTGTGTCTCACTTCTGGCAGAGCATCTGTCTTCTTATACACAGCACCGCTTCTCTTCTTCCTTCCTACAAGCTACTCTTTTCTTCTCTCCTCTTTTTTTCTTAGCCTGTTTTATTTTGTTTTAAGCTTTCATATCAGCAGCTTGTGTATAGCCATTTGACAAACAGTGAGAGTCCCTCTTTCATACTGGTAGCAAATTCATATAATCAAATATACTGTAATTTTCAAGTCATATTTTTAAGAGTATCAGCACAACACCTTGTAGAGAGCGAGCACTCAGAAATTTGCTTTTATTAGTTTTGAAGAGTTAAGGACAATAAAAGAATAGATTGCTTAGGATTTCTGATTATTTCTTTACTGCTAATTTTTTATAAAATTGGCTTTCCTGTTGTTGGAAGCAACTGAAAGGCTGATCCATAAGTTGTTAATATGAAAATAATGCACAATTTCTTTTTTGGGAGGGAGGGTCCTAAAATTGTAACTAAAAGTCTTTTTCTTTTGGAAAGAAAAGCCTGTATCCCTATTCTAGAAATTTCAAAATCTACACTTTTATTGTTCTTATTCTTCAAAAGTAATAAAAACAAATTTCTGAGTACTTGCTCTGTACCAGGTATTGTGCTGGTACTTTTCATCCATTCTTTCTTTTTAATCCTTACAACAAAATAGAAAGTAAGTAATAACTGAATAAAGATGCAGTAATTGGAGAAGTCATTCTGACTGGGACATTTCTCATGTAATGTATGGAGAAAAGGAGAACTTACTGTATTAAGGTTTTTCGGTTATTTTTAAGGCAGATTGCAAGCGCCTCCATTATTTCACAGCAGTTAGCTATGTCAGGAGTCCCTCCATCTGGGATTGGATGATGATGAGTAATAATTCCATACTGTTGATAGAAGTTCAAAAGGTTTGGGACTCTATATTTTGATAGTTCCCCTCTGGTGCAGAAAACAAATATGTCTTGTATGCCATAGTTCTTTAGTTCTTCTGCCAATAGACCAAAATACACAGACACACAGCATATAGAGTTAACATTTCTTTTTTTAAGGAATTATTATTTTAAAAAAATGTTTTTATTGATTTTTTGAGAGAGAATCATGGATGTAAGAGAGAAACATTAATCAGTTGCTTCCTGCATCCCCTGCTCCCACCAATATGGAGCCCACAACCTGGGCATGCGTCACCAATAATCTTTCGGTGCACAGGATGATGCCCAATCAATGGAGCCACACCGGCCATGTAACTGGAGTTATATTTCTTAAGCCAAACTAAGTAAATAATAAATGATAATCTATAAATTTGAAGTGCTGATAATCTAAAACAATACTGATCTGTCTTCAAGCTAGGGTAAAAATTAAGTCACTTATCATAAAATGGGATTTACCAAAACATTTGCAATAAAAGGTGGTTAAATTTAAATCAGACTTTAAAACTCAAAATGCTTTTTACTGAATTTAAAAATGAGTCCATTATATTTTTGTTCTTGATATTTTTTACAATAAATGTTTCAAAATAAATTTAATATTTCAAAATAAACTCTTGAGAAAGAGTACTTTTTTTTTTTTTTTTATGTTTTCTTCCCACAAAACCAACCATGTTTGTTGCTTTCACCAATCTGTTGTTTTGTTTCACCCTAAGCATTGTATATAAAGTCTCCAGCATGACCATGGTGTCAGAGCTCTTGTATTCATACTGTACCACACCATCATGAATTTATGTACTAGGTCTCTAGGAAATAAAACACTAATTGTACTAGAATTATACAATTTAGCCACTTTTATTAGTATAATGAATATGAACCAAGCAACAGTACCATAGGCCATTCTATACACCAGAACTTTCTTATGGCAATATCTAATTCTGACTGATTCTCCCTCCCTGTCTCCCAAATCCAAGGATATTTAGCTATTTAAGTACAAAGTGCCTTTGATCTTGAACCTCTAAGTAAATAACAAATGATAATCTATAAATCTATTGCACTTGAAATATGTCTAGTCCAAATTGAGATGCTTTCTAAGTGTAAAATACATATCTAATTTCAAAGATTAAATACAAAAAAACCTACCTCATGTTTTATAATAAAAACCCATTGAAATGAGACTATTTAGATTATATTAGATTAAGTAAGATATATTAAGTTAATTTCACCTGGTTTTTTTTTTTTTTAATGTGACAACTGGAAAATGTGAAGTTACATATATGGCCTCTACTTGTGGTTCCCATTATATTTCTATGGACAGTGGTGCTCTAGATGTTACTGCAAGTTTTTATACTTCTAAAAAGATTTAACCTATCATTAACACACCTAACTATTTTTAAGAGGAAGTAATTTTCTATTGCCTCTTGTACACATTGGATAATTTCAATTATATAGTGGTTTTCAAACTTCCCTGGAAAGCACTTTGAGGAGGAACCACAGAGCCTGCCACAAGGAGATTCTAAGGCTCTATCAAACATTGGCATTTTTTAAAAATACTGAATTGCATTGAGAAACAAAAGGTGTGGTAGGATATTGGAAACCCCTTTTATAGAATATACTAAATAAATAGGGCTTTTAAAAATGTGCAAGGCTGGATCTTGAACCAGGGATTTACATTAAATGTTCTCCAAATGGAAATTTCCTACCAAGGTAGGTGTCTAACTCATAATTTTTTTTTTTTTTTTTACAAATATTACAAGGGTCAACTAATCTATTAGCCTCTTAAATCTTTTTTTTTTTTTTGTAGGTAAGATATAAATTAAAATACATCAGCAAATTCATATTCTAAAACAATGAGAAAAAAATGAAGATTAAAAAAGCTATACTGGTCAGAACCAATTAATAACATTTTTATTTTGATGTATTATAAGGACACTGGAGGCCCGGTGCATGAAATTCATGCACGGGGGGTTGGGGAGAAGGTTGTCCCCTCAGCCCAGCCTAGACCCTCTCCAATCTGGGATCCCTTGGGGGATGTCTGACTACTGGTTTCACCCTGATCACAGAGATTGGGCCGAAAACCGGCAGTCAGACATCCCTCTCACAATCCGGGACCACTGGCTCCTAACTGCTCACCTGCCTGCCTGCCTGATCGCCCCTAACTGCACCCCCACCAACCTGGTCACCACCAACTGCCCCCCTCTGCCGGCCTGATTGCCTCTAACTACCCCCCCCTTCTGGTCTGGTTGCCCCTTAGTGTCCCCCTGCTAGCCTGGTTACCCCCAACTGCCTGATGGCCTGGTCGCTCCTCACTGACCATCCTACCCCCTGTTGGCCTGGTTGCCCCACACAGCCTGCTGGTCAGTTGTTTGGTTGTCCCTCACTAACTCCCCTGCTGGCCTGATCGCCCCACTCCATGCAGCCTGCTGGTCAGTTGTTACTGTGAGGGCTTTGTGACCAATTTGCATATTATCCTTTTATTAGTATAGATTGGTAGGACTAGTAGTCTTGAAATATTCCAGGACAACTAGAATAAAATATTTTGAAAATCTGAGTTTTTTAGCATTATGCAGTATGTAAATTTCAAATTGGAGTAGATTATCAGGATGTTTGTAAGATTATCAGACTTGAGGCAACAGTGGTCGGAACATCTTTGAGCATGTGAAGATGAGACCTCGCTCCATCTTTCGCACCTAAGTGCTGGCTCTCTAAATTTTCTATGTGGGATGGACAATTTCACTACGACCTCTGAGTTCCCAGCTCAGGCTTAATTTCCACTACCACAGTCAAGTCTGTAAAGAACAACATTCAAAGATCTACAAAACGTCAATTTTCTATTTATATACTTTTCTCACTCCAACTTATACATTCTAAACTCAAAGGCAGTTTCCATCTTTCCTAGTAGAGAAACATATAAATTGACCATACCTCCGCTACACCCACAGCCAATCAGAGTGAGTATGCAAATTAACCCAACAAAGATGGTGGCTAATTTGCATACATACCTGAGTCCTGGGAACCTCTTCCACACCCAGGTCACTCCCAGCTGGCCATTGGAAGGAGGCTTTAGGTTTGGGAAGGGGCCGAGCATGTGATTGGAGGTGCCGGGGATCCCCCTTCCCAAGCCTAAAGCCTGGGGTGGAGGCTTTAAGCTTGGGCAGGGGCTGGACCTGGGATCAGAGGGAAGGGGAAAAAATCAATGGAAACATATCCTCAGGTGAGGATAAAAAGAAAAATAAAGAAATGTCATATCCTATGAAAGACACATCTTGAAAATGGTTAAAGAAAGTTGTCATTTTTTCATGGTGAAGGGACTGGAGTCCATGTTGATGAAAATACCTTGGTGGCTGTGGTGACTGGCAGTGGCTGCAGCAGTGGGGTGATGGGACTGGCACCTTCCCCTGATCAGCCTAGTCGCCTCCTGCAAAGGAGCTCCGCTCCCAATGGGAGTGGGCCTAAGCCATCAGTAGGACATTCCCTGAGGGCTCCCAGTATGTGAGAGGGGACAGCCTGGGCACAAATTTCGTGCACCGGGCCTCTAGTGTATAACATAATTACCATTCAGTGAAAAGCAACAACTATGCTTATTTTAGTGAATGATGAGTTTTCTGTACCCTTCACAAATACCTCTTTACATATTAGAATAAGTGTGTAGTTTGAAATTTTATGAAATACCAATAATTTATTTGGTATATTGAGAAGAGACTATAGTTTTTCTTTCTGACAAGGCGACTGTTAGTGTCATTTTAAAAGAAATTATTAACATGGTTGTTTCATATTACACCTACCTGTATCTTTTTGGATATTTCTTCTAATATCTTTAAATTTACAACCTATAAGTAATGATAAAACAAGTGAAAAAGTCAGTTTTTGGTCATATATAATAAGTATATTTTAACAAAATATAGCTACTTTAGAAAGACATTCCACATGATTATTAATATGCTTCAATTCCATTTTGAATGTAAATTTCAATTTCTTATATTCTTAGGAATAGAACCCAGGGATTTATGGATCCCAGCTGAAGGAACTACTAATGTGAGGATTATTTCTTCTATGTTCTTTAGGTAACAAGTACCTACCTATAGTCCTCAGTCTCATACTGTAACCCAGGGTTTACATTTTATGAAGATAGGTAAGTCAGAAATGTAAAACTGAATGTGGATCTGGAAGGGTTGAAGAGTGTACCTATGTTCCTTTACCTATGGCCCAACATAAGGGCTCCCAAAAATGATGTCCATGCTGATGGCCAATTCTCCTGTTACTCAGTATGGAGAATAATGTGTTATCTGACCAAAAACAAACAAAAATAAACAAAAACTTACAAAAGAAAAAACCCCACCTTTTAAAAAATATATCAGTAAGAAGCCAACTGTAGTGTTACCTACCTGGAAGAGCACATAAACCCAGGAACTGAGAACAATTCACTCGTGACAGGGGCAGCCTGAAAAGATAAAACTTTATCAAGTATAGTTCAGTCTTTAAAAAGTTATAAATGAGAATTCAATTTAGTAAACGTGTGTGCTTGCCATTAAACAAGTGTTTTAAAGGTCTATAGTAGTCACAAAACAAAAATTCATAGTTAAATATCAATGTATTGGTCTCAAAAAGGTCAAGAAAAACTGGAAGTTTTGAAACGGAGACTTATTATTTGCTTTGTCACAATTTAAGTCCTAAAAAGTGGCAAGTCAAACTTACCATAAAGATAATAATGCCTAGGATGCCAACAGCTAGTATAAAACGCCCTTAAGTTACCCTATAGATACGTTGTCTTAGTAACCTTCAGAAATAAGCTGGAAAATGACCATCTGACAATATCATACCTAGCATTCAGTCTATATTACTATTTTAAGATTCCTTTGAAGGACCTCCTTAAACAGATAAAATTTCATATGATAAAAAAATCACAGGCCACCCATTCTTTGTAGTAATAGATTTTGGATAAAATTAAACAATTTCAAGAAACCATATTCCCAGTTTGCGGTACTTGGGGACAATGGGGGGAGAGTTATCTTATTTTTAAGATAGAAAATGAGTTTAAAGGAAAACAGGGGGCAACATATAAATATCACTTGACTTTAAAATTAGATGAATTTTTGAGTTTAAAAGGGAATTTGGAAAGGGCAATGAAAGTTGCTATTTAATGGCAGAACAAAAATTTTAAGACAACAATTTTATTCTTTTTCTCTTCCTATTCTGTTGTCCTATAAAAAATAATAAAATGGTTGTCTTTAAAAAATAATAATAAAAAGTATTGATTTTAGATAGGAAAGAGAGAGAGAGAGGGGAACACTGGCTTGTCCCACTTATTTATTCACTCATTGATTTGTTTTTTTATGTGGCCTAACTGGGGATGGAATCCACAGTCTTGGTGTATCAGGAGGATACTATAACCAATTGAACTATTTGGCCAGGATTGGAATGGCTTTCTTAAAGAAACAGATGATTATATTTTTAAGCAAGAAAGAAAGCATTTGATTGCTGGGTGTAGAGAATCTGGTATAACCATAAGTCACTGTCAAGATTTTAAAATTGGTTTTCTATAGAAACAATTGTATTTGTTATTGTATCTATGGCAATTGGCTTTTAATGCTAAATGGTCTGCTGATAGATGCATTACTGTGGCAAGTAGTTCTAGGATTTGACTACATGATAAATGACAAAATATCTTCTCTGTTTGTTACAGTGTTCTTTTATCATAAAAGAATAAGTATGTTTTGGCACTAAATGGGAGATCATTCCAATGGGATCTCAACTCCTTAATTACTAGTACTTGTTTCTATTATGGTTTCTTCAATATATAAAGACTCCCACGCACCTGCAAAAAAGCCTAATTCTATCATAGATAGTAAATAAATTATGGAGTTGGACAATCTCATAAAAATTGGAATTATAATCAGTGGGAGAGAATCGTTAAATTCTTTCAATACCTAGATTTCATGCTATGAAGATTATGATGTACATATCAAATATTTTAACTCATCATTGATCATAAATGTTAACATACCATGATATCTGAATTGGAGTCTGTTCATCTTCAATAGGCTCTTCATCTGATGAGTCAAACTCACTTGTCTGCAATGAAATAGGCTTCAAAAGAAATTAGTTATGTTAAATAACTGTAAAGAATATTTACATATCATCTTAGTATAACTGATCTTTGCTTAAACATACACTGAATACGTATTTGATATTTATTCAATCTGGAATGTCAGAGATTAGCAATTGCAATGATAAATTATTGTTATTTACCATACTATTAATAACAACAGCACTCTGTAGTAGAGCTGGATTGGGAATCAAGAAACCCGGCTTCTGGTGTTGGCTCTACCAGTTAGAGTATAAGTGATGTCATTTTAGTCTGGATCTCAGTTTCTCACAACTATAAAGTGAGATTTATTCATTCATTCACAAACATTTCTTGGACATCTTCCTCTGCCAACTTCTGGCAACCAAAGATTCATAAAACAAAGAGCCTCCCTTCAGTATAGTTGGAAGCACAGATTGTGTGCGCTGATTACAGATTTTAAATGCTAACATGGAAGCAAAATCTAAGCATTTCAGAGCAAAAAGAGGAGCGAATAACTGCTCTGGGAGCTGGAGAAAGCTTCACAGAGGAGATGCATTAACTGGGTTTTGAGGAATGAGCAGGAGGTTTCAGGCAGATCGGGAAGAAGTGAAGGCTATTACAACAAATCGAGAAAGGGCTTGTGCACTAGGAAACAGATCAGAGCAGAGGTGGAGCTAGAGATGTTTTACCTACCTCATTTGTAAAAAAAATAACCCCCATAGAGCCTAGTAGTTTGATTGGGGTAGGAATTTTAGTTGGAATAATAACCTGCCCTCAAATTTGAAAGATTGAGGTGGACTTTGTATGCTGATCTAAGGAGTTGGACTCAATCCTGTGGCATCATTTCTACATAGCAGACGGTTGAAAGTTTTATAGCACCAATAAAAACATAGCTTTCTTCTAATTCTTAGTTGGAAACGACTGAGAGATAAAACAGAGGAAAGGCAAATGGAGATCAATATATCAGTTTTATTACTAAGGGTCACGTGTCTTTAAAGTGGTGGTCTGGTTGGGCTTGTCAAACCTTCATGCAGAATTGGATTCATCCACCCAGTCATAGGCAGCCAAGGCCCACCCAGGGCTCCCTGGGGCAGAAAGAATGCGCTCTCTGCAGAGAAGGGGTGAAGGGGTTGAGCTACCTGTGTTCAGCTCCTCCCAAACCTCTGGCACAAGTGGAGGAGGAGGCCAGCTGATGTGCCCACACAGGGCAACGCGGGGACGAGAAGAGTAACCACCTAATGGCCGTTCCAGCTCTGACGCTGTATTCTATACCGGTCTTGTTTGTTACAAGGAAACATTCCAGAGCCAGCTTAGGCTGTGGGTTTGAGGTGCTTTGGACCCATCTGTATTGTTATTAACTCAACTTAAACGAAGGCTATTCAGTAAGTTGTCAACCTTAGTAGTAGGTGATGGAAGTCAGGTGGACTTCAGCTTCTTGTATTGATCCGTTTTTCCTTTTTTCCTCCCTCTTAAAAAAGCAGTTTTGGTCAAAACCGGTTTGGCTCAGTGGATAGAGCAACAGCCTGCGGACTGAAGGGTCCCTTGTTCGATTCCGGTCAAGGGCATGTACCTGGGTTGAGGGCGCATCCCCAATAGAGGGTGTGCAAGAGGCAGCTGGTCGATGTTTCTTTCTATCCCTCTCCCTTCCTCTCTGTAAAAAATAAATAATATATATATATATAATATAATTTATTATATATAATTTATTTATATATATATATAATTTATTTTTTACAGAGAGGAAGGGAGAGAGAGAGAGATAGAAACGTCGATGAGAAACATCGACCAGCTGCCTCTTGTACACCCCCTACTGGGGATGTGCCCGCAACCACTGTACGGCCTTGACCGGAATTGAACCCGGGACCTTTCAGTCCGCAGACCGACGCTCTACCACTGAGCCAAACCGGCTTCGGCAATATATATATATTTTAAAAAGCAGTTTTGTTGATTCAAGACGTTCAACTTGTGGGGCCCACTCAGGCAACCCGTCTGGGATTTACAGCTTCCAACGCAGCTGCACGCTTCCAGCTCTCCGAGACCCAGGGATCCTGAACCCCAGGGAAAGGCTCGCAGGGTGCCGGTGGCCTCGGGGACGGTGACAGTGGTGGCCACACCCACGAGCGGGGATTGGCCATCGTCTTTCCTGAAATTCCCCCCGGTCCGCGGCGAGGACAGCTCCCCCGGGGGCACAGGCAGCCCGCTACATCTTTGGGGGCTGGGGTACGTGGCAGACGGAGCCCCTGGAGCTCTCTACGCCTGTTTCCTCGGGAAAACGGGCATGGCTGTCGCGAGGCTTACAAGACCCCTCAGGCGACAGCCCAGCCCTCCCCCGGCGCTCGTCTTCCCCTCGTCCCGCCGCCCCAGTCCTCCCGGCCATCGCTCTCGCCGGCCCGGGAGGCGCCACCTCCCCTCCCAAAACGGTCACTGCGAGAGTCGCCGCGCCACCGGACCAGGATGTCCCGGGGCCCCAGGACGGGAGAGCAGAGTAAAACCGGGGTCCGGAATAGACTGACATCGCTCCCGCAGGAAGCGGGAGAGCCACCTCCAGAAGCCAGGGCCGCTTCCGTCCGTCCCTGTGGCTTCGTCCTCCGAGCCTCCGCCCGACTCACCGGCTTCATCGCGGGCAGCCCCGCGTCGCGACCCGCCACCGTCTGCCTCCGGCCTCAGCAGGGTCTCGCCCCGCGCCGAACCCGCCCCTTCGCTCAGCTCATTGGTGCACCCCTTTGTGAGGTGGGGCGCGGTGTCTTCTAGGAGCCAATCATGCCCTCGCCTTGCTTCTTACTCCGCCCCCAGGCGTCTACGGCCGCTCATTGGCTCCCAGGTGGCCTTTGAAAGACGCGCGGGAGGAGGGCCCTGTGGAACTTGATTGGCTGGGCGGGCGCCCGCCTCCGGCCGGTTGGGAGGACAGAGGTGGCGGGGAAGTTGGGAGGAGCGAGAGCGTTTAAATGCTGGGAAGCCAAGCTTCCTCTTGGCAGGGTTTCCAAGTGTTTTCAGGGTAGGAAATTTTGTTTGTTTCCTTAAAAAACAAAAAAAAACAACAACAAAATTGTGTTAAGGGCATAGGAAGAGTTGGGGAGGCACTACCCTGAAGCATCGTATGAAAACACTACATCCCATAGACTTTATACTTATGGTCCTATCTAGTCTTACAAAAATACTATGGGGATAGCTAAAAATATAGACTATAAAGATAACACTGTATGTGTGATATTTGATGTTCTTGACCATTACAGGATCTAGACAGGTTAGGGTGTAGCTCAACCTTCCTGATCACTAAAATATGAATGAAATAATATTGCGTGAAGGGAAGATAAAAAGTGTCCAGATGGTTCCAAAGCACCAGTGTTTCTTACATAATCAGTTACAATCTTTCAAAAAATGTGATTCGTTTCTCCCCCATTCACCAGTCCCCATTTTTCTGGCCACGGGGAAGGAAGTCACCAGGAGCAGTATTACCTGTAGAGCTGACAAAAATATGCAGAAGTTTCAGCTCCCTGACTCATGTTGTGAAAATCAGTGGGTGACCGAGCTAGCACAGTTTGACTTAGAGACTGAATTTACTCAGGGTTCTCCAGAGAAACAGAACCCATGGGATATATACATAAAGAGATTTATTTTAAGGAACTGGCCTCCACAGTTGTGGAGGCTTGGTGAGTCCAAAATTCTTGGTCACGGAGGTTGGGGGACTGGAGACTCATAAAGGAGTTTTGGTTGGAGTTCAAAGGTGGTCAGTCTGTTGTAGAACCAAGACTAGTTGATGTGGCATATGAAATCCAAAGGCTGTCTGTTGCAAAATGACCCTTACCTTTTTGTTCTATTAGGGTTTCAGGGGATTAAACCAAGCTCACCCTCATTATAGAGGGAAGTCAGCTTTATTCAAAGTCCATCAATTTAAATATTAATCCCATCCAAAAACACCCTCACGGAGCCCTGGCTGGGTAGCTCAGTTAGTTAGAGTGTCATCCTAATACACCAAGGTTGTGGGTTCAATCCTCAGACAGGGCATATACAGGAATCAAATGATGAATGCATAAATAAGCAGAACAAAAAGTTACTATTTCTCTCCCTTCCTTTATCTCTCAAAATAATAATAATACTACTACTACTAATAATAATAATAATTAACATAAAACAAAAACACCCTTACAGAAACATCCAGAATAATGTTTGACAAAATATCTGGGTACCATAGCACAACCAAATTGACATATAAAATTAGCCCTAACAGACATATTGGATTTGATCCATCCATTCATTCAGTAAATATTATTAAGCACTATCTGTGTTTTAGGTATTATTCATTGTGCTTAGAATCCTTTATGCAGCCCACTTGCTATTGGGGGAGACAGGTAGTGATATGTGCTGTGAAGAAAAATTTAAACACCTGGAGCCTGATGACTATTCTAGGCAGAAAAGTCAAGAAAGGCATCTTTGAAGAGATGCCATTTGAGAAACACCCAAATGAAGAGAGTGAACCATTTGAATATTTAGGAGAAGTTTCAATCTGTCTTAAGAGTGAGAAGGTACAAAGGCCCTGCAGTGGGAATATACTAGGTGTGTTCAAGGAACAGCAAGGAGGCCAGTATGGGAGGACCTGATTAAATGAGGAGGAGAGCGATAGGACATGAACCAGGGCTTTGTGTTGGGTTTGAGAGCTGCTTTTCTGAAGGATTACAGAGAGGGTTCAAAGGAAAATTAGGCCCTGGGCTTTAGGCAAGGCAATTCACATCTCTATATGACACAGGGGAACAAATGCCTCCTTGATGGGCTTCAGGATGTTGTTAATCCCTCACTTCTTAACTCCTGCCTTCTCTTCACTTCTCCCAGAGTTGGCTCTATAGATCCTTTCATCTTCAGCACCAGTTAATACAGTTGCCATATCATTTCCTCAGAACAGACTTTCATCTTCAGCATCAGATAATACAGTTGCCATCATTTCCTCAAAACAGACTTTCCCCCTTGGAATAAAGTTCTAGCCCCTTCCAGTGTTGTGCAAATTCTGCCACCTCTGGCCTCAGATGGATGTGAACAGTCTGAATCTGTTCTAGCTCTTGCTGATTCTGCAGAGAGGAGGGAAAGAGTGAGCTCTGGTCCCATGAGAAGTGGGTAGAGGGCTGGAATATTTCAACTTCTGTTTGTTTTCTCTAACAGAACTGTGTCCAGGCTTTCTCTTTCTCTACCTGAAGACAAACACATCTCACCTCTATGATGTAGCCTTTGTTTGTTTGTTGTTTTATTTTGGTTCAAGGGTTGACAAACTTTGGCCCACGAATCAGATCACATAGGCCTGTTTCTGTAAAGTTTTAGTGGAATACAACCATGCTCATTAGTTTAAGTATTGTCGATGGCTGCTTCTATGCTATAATGGTAGAGATGAGTAGATGCAACAGGGATTGTATGACTTGCAAAATCTAAAATATTTACTGTCTGGTCCTTTACAGAAAAAGTTTGCCCACCTCTGCAATGTAGTATGTGAGAGAAATGTATATTTCTTCTAATAACATGGCTTTAAGTCTACTGCTTGCAAAGAGTTCTGGCTTTATTATGCTTAAATGTTCTTCTCTGCATGTCTTGGTCCCTTTGTCATTGAGGGTCCCACATAAACTAACAAGGCCTCTGGCTGAGCCATCTGGTTAATGGCACCATAGTAACCTGGTTCCTCTCTAATCCCCAAGATTTTTTTCCTGAGAGGGGGAGTAGGAGCATAAGTTCAGCTTGCCACACCTGTAGTCTGTAGTTAATTTTTTGGGTGTGTGACTCATAGCTGTTAACAGAATTGTATGTGATCAAAACAATGTGGACGATTTATCCAAACTACCAGATGAAAAAGTGTTAACACATGTTCAAAGACAGGAGTGTTTTTGGAAATACTCAAAGGGAAATGAAACATGACTGCCATCAGTAGTTGCACTTAGATGTATGTTTTACAATAGATCTATATTTAAGAATATTTTAATATTAATGTGAATGGATTTGACATATGTGTTAGGGAGAGAACATTGGAAACTTAGAGTTAGATGCAATTTGGAAAGAACAAACTTCCTCCCTTTTGACACGATGAGTTTAAGAATTTTTGTTGTAATGACCATCAGATACAATATAAGACATTCGCAGTAGACATGTGTTATTTTCTCATTGTTTATCTCTCTGGTGAATCGCCCCTTTCCCATTTCATATGGTCTTGTTGGGCATGTAAATGGGACTGACCAATACATGTGCCTTATTCTTCTGGTCACAGTTATTAATGCAGGGACTGCATATAACCCATGCCTCCTGGTCTTGTGAGCTTTGGTTGCTCTTATTTTCTTCTTTCCCTTCCTAAGATTTCTGCTTTTCTCCAGGAGGATGCTGAGTTCTAATTTATCCCAAATAATTAAAGTAGATTGTGAAATTTATTTGAAATATCACTTAAAATTTAAAATGACATTTATAATTGGAATAGATTGTATTTTTCATAACACTTTTACTCATCTTAGCTACTCTTCTGCAATGTGGCTTTATCAGGAGGTAGAGTATAATATTCATGCACCAGCTTGAATGTAGCAGAAGTGACAAATGATAAGCTTGTTAAGAGTTCATATTTCATGTAACCAGAACCCAATTCAGGAAATAGATTATCATCCCCCAGAAGTTTCCTTTATGTCCCTGTCAACTGTCTCCCATAAGCTTAGCTATGTTTTGACTTCTGACCCGATTGCTTAATTTTGCTTGCATAGGAATTGTAAATAAATGGAAGCTTTTGTGTATGGTTTCCTCTGCTCAGCTTTATGTTTGTGAGATTCATTCATGTTGTGTAGTGTAGTTGTACTTGTTTATTTTAATGGCAGTATTTCATTATTTGAATATACTAGAATTTATTTATCTAATCTGTGGTGGCTAGACATTGAGGAGTTTCCAGTGTTGGCCTATTATAAATAGTGCTGCTATAAACATTCTTGTCCATGTCTTTTGGTAAAAATATGGGTGCATACTAGGAGCAGAAGTGCAAATGTTCATCTTTAGGGATACTGCCAGTTTTCCAAAGAGGTTATACCAATTCACACTCACACTGGCTCTGTGTTAGAATTCTAGCTCAACATCTGTGCTAACATTTGGTATTGCCTTTCTTCTTCATCTTAGCCATGTGGTGAGTGAGTCATTTTATTTCAAAGCAGCATCTAATTTCCAATTGTTGAAAGACTAACACTAATCAGTTATATATCAGACAGAATCAGTAGATGCCATTCTTTAAGAATATAATATTTATAATTATATAATTATATTCAAACGTTTATAATATTTAGAATGTATGGGAAATGTTTCTATATTATGTGTTAACTAGAGGCCTGGTGCATGAAACTCATGCACAAGAATGGGGGTCTCTCAGCCCAACCTGCACCCTCTCCAATCCAGGAGCCATCAGGGGATGTCCTACTGATGGCTTAGGCCCACTCCCCTTGGTTCTCTGCTCTTTGAGGGACCTGGCTGTCCTCTCTTTGTGGGGCCTGGAAGCTTCACTGCCACCTCCACCATGCGAATGGAGCTGCTATGCTATGCTGTCTGCCCTCTGTCGGCAAGGCCTGGGGGCTTCACCGCCATTGCTGCATGAAGGAAGCCACCACACCTTGCTATCCACTGT